AACGACAATGCTGTTGACTTTTAACATCACATGCGATAAAAATACAACGAACACAGAATTAAAACTATTATTGATTATACCAAAATACTAAAATCTTTCATGGATATATAGTTTGGTGCTTCGTTTGAGCATTTCATGTAGAAATATCGACTCAGTTTTCTTGTTTATAAACCGTAATGGCGCGCTTTGACCTATTGACCTTAACACGTTGAGTTAGCAAACCATGTTCAGGCACGTGTAACATTATGTATCGTATATGAATAGCGGCTCCCTACAAACTAAGGAGGCATTGGAGTCTTATACACGTTTATCGTATACGAAGCATGCTTTTGTTTAAATTCTATTACATGTTCACTTATGTGAACAAAGCCATTTCTTTTGTGAGACATGAATTTAATTTTACAAAAATAATTCATGTTAGCCATCAAGTTTCGTCCTTATTTGATAAACCTCAGGATTTCGATTTTCTTATTTTGAATTAAGACTAACAAAAAGAGTTAATCACGAACACGTTGGTAAAATCGTTATTATGTTTCCTGGTACAAAATCGACTTGCTGACCTTGTTGTGTCCTTGGTTTCAACTCAGGGGCGCGACTATAGTGGAGATTTTTATAAATAAAACAACTGCGATACATGAATAATAACCCACATTATTCCCTCTTTGTAGTCCTGACTGAAGTGAAACAAGAGTTACAGGTTACCAGATAACTTGTCACAGATTCGAGCCCCAGTCTTCATGATGTAAAGCGAATTCGTTACCGCTGCCATCAGCCCACTTTGTCGATGATTTTCTCAAAATGCAGAACGTTTTTCCAAGTCACATACGTTCTGGTAACCAATAGCGAAGTCACAATGCTTAATATTTTAAAGAAAAATATGGCGAAGGAATGTCGCATTGTCCTAACTGGCATGGTTTGTGAGTGTAAAATTGAGTTGTAAGTAGGGTTTCCGGAAAATAATTTTGCATTTCTGAGAAAATGAAGAACTTGTAGGGGTTTATCTAATTCCTCTCTCGATTCCGTACAATTTCGTTGTACCAATAGACATGGTTAGCATACTTCAGGTTTATTTTTCTTTTATCCATTCTCTTTTCTATTCTTTTAGATGTTATCAAAGCAAGGGGCCCATAGGGCCTGTATCGCTCACCTGGATCGTAAAGCCTAGCAATGTACACAGGTTGGTTATTTCTAATATTTCCAAATTAAAGTTCAGTCACTAAATCTCTTTGATGGGGCTAGACCAATGGGTAAATTCTTATATTATCACTGTCTTTTTCTTTTGATTCCTGGTAAGAGTTTATATAGTCATCTGGTTAGTATTTCAACTTAATCAAAATTATGACCCAGAAATAATGTCCTTGGAGGTGTGCCACACCAAAGGGGCAATTCTTACATAACAAATGTGTTAATCTCTTGATGCCAAGCAATTCTATATCTAGTTATGGTGTGGGTACTGTTTCAAAGATATCAGCCAGAAATTAAGTCCAGAGGGGTGGGGCCACACCCAGGGCCAGTTCTTACATTGTGGATGTGTTTATGTCTTTTTGCCAGCATTGCAATATATGGTTTAGGATTAGGGATCTCGGCTGTTTCAAAGATATAACGATGAATCGGAGTCCCTAGGGTCGGGGTCAAAAGCTAATGCTCCACGATTGCGTGTATCTCTTTATGCCCCGCAATGCTATACATGGTTATAGGATTTCTTCCACACATTTCTTCCACCGAGTCCCTTCCTTGCCACCCAAGTGGGCCGGGATCCATTGTCTATACAAATAGGATTCAGACAAAATTTAGACAAAAGTCAATTATTCCTATTGGAGGAGTGGGGTTTAAAGTATTTGCACTACTTCCCCTATTGGGCCCCGCTCCTCACAACCAAGCAGGCCATGATCCACCGTTTAAACAAAATTGATTTTCACCCAAAGATGCTTCACAGACAAAATTTAGGCAAAATCCAATCATTCCTACTGGAGGAGTAGGATTTTAAAGGACATGCCAAATTTCCCCTTTTGGACGGCTTCCCTCAGGCCATGGGAGCCGCGACACGCCATTTATACAAAAAAAGGTTCTCCTTCCCCAAGGATGCTTCTTACCAAAGGTTAAAATCCCATCAGTTGTTCAGGACTAGTAGAATTTGTAGAAAAAGTTGACAGACGACAGACGACGGGCGCCGTGGTATCCCTATTGCTCAATCAGTCATTCGGGCAGAAGAGCTAAAAATGATAAAATTTCAACATGCCATGTGGTTTAGGACTGGCTTATTTACAGTGACACGTGGGCGTTTGTGTTATTTCGCGGTCCAGGGAAGACAACTCCCGCCCAAGAAATTACTAATCTAATTCATTTTACAATTTTCCCGACTGATTATGTGTTGCAGTGAACAAAACTCGAGGACAAAGAACATGTGATCGTATAGGCTGTTACAGATGGTTTATAATGTAGGTGTATAGGGAATTTTAAAAAAGTATTACACGTAAAATTTTCATTAATTTATGTAAAATCGGTTGATTCCCTTGTCTCCGAAATACTGGAAATCCAATACTGTACACGTAGCGACATTAAAATGCCATCAAACAAAAAAGTTGAATCGATTCACAATACCAAACGATTGGTGTAAGATAAAGATCGTTAGATCCCCATTTCCGACAATAGATACCATTACCGTTTGAAAGATTGATCACCAGAGGCAGATTCGTCCTCGGTATTCATGCTTTACTATCCACAGCCAACGTGAAGTAGACATAAATTGTTCTCATTATCGATTTTAATGCACACTGCACGGAAATGTCAACACGCAGGAAAATAACGAATTGTGAAATTATTATTAATAATAAAATCAATATGGGTACAAGGAAAATAACAACATTTAATCTGCAACCTTACATACACATTTCTGTTTCATCATCGCCACCTTCAATGGAAATCATGATTCAGACCAAGCAGTCCCAGAGACGACGAAACGATTACCATAGAAACAGAATATATCCCATAAGACCACTTTGGCGAACATCCAATGTATAGAACTATCTATATGGGAACTAATTATGCCCCACAGTTAGTCGACTTGGTTTTATTTTCATACCAGGCTGAATTTACCGAAGAGCTTAGTCAAAACAGGTCACACAGACCTTGCAAAGTCCTTCCATTTCTCTTTCAGATATATTGATGACGTCTTGTCTTTAAATAGCAAGAGATTTATTAATCATGCCATACATATGCATGTACCTACAAGAATAAAAAATCAAGAGCACAACAGACTCTTCTACGTCAGCCACTTATTCCCATCTTTTCCTATAACGAAACCAGCATTGACATCTCCACCCGTAGGATAAATGTGATGATCTCAATTTCCCTAGTAGGATTTTTCATATCTGAATAGCAATAATCCTACATCCCTAACATACGATGTTAACATGTGCAGTTGATTCAATATTTTAGGGCATGTTCCATATATTACGATTTCCGTGCAAGATATGTCGACAACTGATAGACAAACTCATAAAACAGGTTTCGAGAGATGCAGATTGATTGATTAGGGGAAACACATGGTCTTATTCTCATTGTACTATTCCAGGAGTCTTCGTATAAATGTTCATATTTTGCACTATTTCATAGAATTTGAGTTTGAATTATTATCCTGATCACATTTTGGTATTTTTATTATAGATCCGTGTTGTAAGGGAATACTATGAGTTAAAAGTTTGCCAATGGTATGTTAACTCTTAAGGCCACGGCGAGGCACTTCTGTAATTCTCAAAGCAGTGTACCTTCGAAAAGGTCCAATGCATATAAACTTGTATACTAGAACAATGGACAATGCCACGAAGATGCCTTTGTTGGAAACATAGGTACTAGTATCAAGTATAGGACAGTCCGCCTTAGAAACCTGAAACCTGTGCAGACTTGCCAATTACAATCTAATTGATAAAGAATTTCTCACCCAAGTCTGAAACGACCATGAGTTTTAATGCTGAGAAATTTACACACAATTGACGATGTAAATAAAGTCCATGTTTGTGCTTAATTAAAAGCAAGGCACTTGGGAAAGTTCTCATTTTCTGTCTTGATATCATCTGTAATCAAACATCAGTCGTCCATGAGATCAATGCTCTCTTGGGTGTCAACTATCACCAGGAATATCTTGTGTCTCAATTAATCTCGACATCTTGTCAATCAGAAAATCTCACGGCTGCATCCTCAAAATATCATCAACGTCTACATCCCGTAGTGCTATCGCTTGGTGAATTGATTGAATAATGACTTTGTAGAGAAGCTAGCAGAATTGATAATAAATATATAATAAATAAATATGAAATTTCACACTTATAATAGAGTAGATCCTTCACCATAGCAGTAATTATGAAGCAGAATAACTCGAATTTGGACTCTCCGAGTGTTTTCCTAAAACCCTGGATCTTTATTCAGCAGGAAACAGTGCAGACAAGGAGTTATATAACATCTTGTCTGCTGACGCCAAAACTAAGAATTTCATTACAAATATAGATCTTTGTCAGGATATTGTATGCTTCTACACTATATAAATCTTTATGTTTAATAAAATCTTTCATTAAATCTGACAATGTCAAGTTATACATTTACACAATTATTTTCAGCTCCTTGTAATCAATATGTGTGTGTCCAAGAGGCTGACAGGATGTGTGACTATTCAGAAGTAACTACGGTGACTTAGAAAGTGGTTCAGTGTCATTCATATAATCAAACATGATAGTCATGCTAACGGCAAAATATCATCACCCTTTATAATGGTTTCAAAATATGAGGATGGAACAATGCAACACATTGATATGTCTGATCTTAATGGTAATTAATTTAGAAATATTATCAGCCAAGTATCATGACCTTGGGCCATGCTTATTAAAATGATTAGTTGAAAATTTCAACATCTTTAAATCCCTCTGAACTTAAAAGTGGGCCAAGGTCATTATATTTGAACCATTTGATAATTTTTTCATCCAAGAAAAACAAAAACACAAAACAAAAAGGTTTAGAGGTATTTTTTATTGCAGCAAGTAAGTTTCTGGGCATATGTTAAATGTACCCGATACCCCGCATTGCTATAAATATTTTCTCTCTCACTTTCATTCTAAGTTCCTATCTTATCACAGTAAGCACTGTCCAACCCCATCCTAAGACCTCTGGACTGGTCATCTTAAGCCTTTCTTAGCTGCTTGATGTATATGGGATTCTAGTTTATCTGTAATAGAGAGAAAAACACTTGTTTCAATTCTGGCTTTATAACACGAGATCCCTTAAAACAGACAAATGGCAAATTCTACTTCATACAGTCATTTATAAACCTCTAGTGTATCTGAAATATAGTGTAAAACATCCACCAGTATAGTGAATTAATACTCCCTCACCTTAGAAACAAAAATTTCTAAACTGGTGTGGGAAATTTTGGGAGATTTATCTCCCTTAAGCAACTATATGACATGTTAATTAATCTCTGTTGTTTTAATACACAAGTGTATATTTTGTTAATTGTTTGGAGAGCTGGACCAGTATTCTTGATTAACAACATAAAGAAGAATCTGGGATGTTATTTTGCTTTCTTATGAGCCTAAAAAAACCTTTTAGGTCCTGTAGTGTAATAACATCTGAAAGTTGTCCTGGTAACTGCCTGAAATGTTACATTTGAAATGTTGCCTAACAGTTTTTCCACTTAAACAAAAGCAGCCTAGGTGTTTCCATATAAAAAATACTAGGATGGAAATATGAATAGCTTACCAGCTGAGGAATAAAGTTAACTAATCATAAAATGGTTACTGCACACTGTAACATACCAAAAGCATTTAACATCTTATAATGGGAAATCTATTTTGCTGAATAAACAGAGAAAAATAATGATATGTCATTGTATCTAAGGAAGTGTACAGGCATCCAAGGTTATTAAAGGCCTGTGACCTGTCAAACTTGTTATCATTACTTCAGTGACGGCGCAACCGGTTATCATTACTTCAGTGACGGCGCAACCGGTTATCATTACTTCAGTGACGGCGCAACCGGTTATCATTACTTCAGTGACGGCGCAACCGGTTATCATTACTTCAGTGACGGCACAACCGGTTATCATTACTTCAGTGACGGCACAACCGGTTATCATTACTTCAGTGACGGCGCAATGCATACATAGGTATATTGCACGAACACATTTACTCACTCCCACTCTAACAAGTGACTAAATAACCCTGACATGGATGTTAAACACATTTCTATGACAAACAGATACAATATTAGCCAAAATGCAGCAATACACATTCATTTACGTTACAATTTAAACACCTTGAGCAATGTGTTTTGGAGGAAAAAACACAAAAAATATCAACAAATGAATAACTACAGCAAACCCTACCTTGATTTTTATGATTACAGCCATAAATTCCTGTGTAATAAGTTTACTATTTCCAGTTAGGCATTTTCTTCAGAAAAAGTAAAATTTCATACAATCTATGGCATGTCACTATTTTGCACTGGTTTTACTTGTCAAGCATTTACACGATCAAGATTGAGAAAATAGAAACAAATAATCGTCATATGCTATACAGCATTTTCCAAGTGCTGCAGTATCACTGTAAAATGGACGTGTCTAGAGTTAGTGCACATGTTTTGAGATATATACGATGGACTGCAAGGAGTTAGCTATGCTTTCAGTTTTATTATATTTTTTTAATATATTTTTGAATAGCTGAGAAGTACTGAACAACATCAGGCGACTTCAAAATCCTCAAGTGAGTGCACTCTTCTTGGGTCGCATGTCTGTATAATCATATAATACGCAAGCAAGTCTCACTTTGGGCGGTCAATGTTGCAATGATAACTGGTTTGACACGTTGTAAGCCTTTTATACCCTGGGATGCTGTACTTGTTGCCAAGCAAGGCATGGACTAAAATGTTGACAGTTTCCTTAGGTACACTGACCGGAAGATATTGTTCTCATAGAGGAAGTTTTTTTTTTTAATCTCAAGGTGAAGTCTTTTTAACTTGCATTGTCTGATTTAAAGGAAATTTCTGAAAACTGTTAATTAATCAACTTACAGATTTTGTGTTTTCCCTTGATAGGAAACTTGACCACCAGTTGTTGTGGAACCTCACAGATAAAAACATATGGAGAGGCTGACTCTCCGTCTGGAAACTGTAATGTAACGTAAGCAGAAAGATATAACAGAACAACATTGCAAGTATAAATGAAGTATATAACAGTATAAAAACAGTCATAGAAAAACAACACACAGGGACACACAGAGAGGCCTCATATAGGGACTCAGGAAAGCCTCACACAGATAGAAAGGCCTCATTCAGGGACTCATAGAAAGGCCTCATTCGGGGACTCATAGAAAGGCCTCATTCGGGGACTCATAGAAAGGCCTCATTCGGGGACTCATAGAAAGGCCTCTCACAGGGACCAATAGAAAGGCCTAATACAGGGATTCAGAAAAGCCTCTCACAGGGACCCATAGAAAGGCCTCATTCAGGGACTCATAAAAAAGCCTCACATAGGAAAGCATAGAATGGTTTCCCACAGAGACCCAGACAATGCTTACACAGTGACACATAAAAAGTTTTATTAAGGAATATACAGAAAAATCTCACACTGAAACCAGTAGACTGGGCTCATACAGGGACCCATTGAAAGGCCTTACTTAAAAACCCATCGGCAAGACCTAAACAGGGACCCATACAAATGCCTCATACAGGGACCCCATTGAATGGCCTTACTTAAAAACCCATCGGAAAGACCTAAACAGGGACCCATACAAATGCCTCATACAGGGACCCCATTGAATGGCCTTACTTAAGGACCTGTTTGAAAAGACTCACACTGGGACCCATACAAATGCCTCAGACAGGGACCCCATTGAATGGCCTTACTTAAGGACCTGTTTGAAAAGACTCACACTGGGACCCATACAAATGCCTCATACAGGGACCCCATTGAATGGCCTTACTTAAGGACCTGTTTGAAAAGACTCACACTGGGATCCATACAAATGCCTCATACAGGGACCCCATTGAATGGCCTTACTTAAGGACCTGTTTGAAAAGACTCACACTGGGACCCATACAAATGCCTCATACAGGGACCCAATTGAATGGCCTTACTTAAGGACCTGTTTGAAAAGACTCACATTTGGACCCATACAAATACCTCATACAGGGACCCCATTGAATGGCCTTACTTAAGGACCTGTTTAAAAAGACTCACACTGGGACCCAACAAATGCCTCATACAGGGACCTGTTGAATTGACTAACTTACCCATTAGATAAACCTCAACAGGGACCCAAAGAAATTATCTCTGCATGTGATCAATAATACCTACTGAAATATCAATATGCATTTGTGAGGTTCTAGTTATGAAATTAGACAAAATTTTTGCTTAAATGCAATGTCATTAATACATGAATCAAACTCAGTTGATTTTCCCTAATGTGGTGTTTTCATGTTTTATCTAAGTTGTAATTAACTAATATTTTACTGGAGAATCTAATTCACTTGTATAAAGTATTGTTTACCTTTTCTCTGTACTGGTCTTGAGCCAGACAGTCAACCACATCCACACATCCTAGTAGGCATCCAACCGGGTAATGACTGGGAAATTCCAATCGTGGGTCTGAAACAAAACAGTAATTAATGGCAGGCACACTGTAGGGTAATGACTGGGTAATTCTAATCTTAGGTCTGAAACAAAACAGTAATTAATGGCAGGCACACTGTAGGGTAATGACTGGGAAATTCTAATCTTAGGTCTGAAACAAAACAGTAATTAATGGCAGGCACACTGTCGGGTAATGACTGTGTAATTCTAATCGTGGGTCTGAAACAAAGCAGTAATTAATGGCAGGCACACTGTAGGGTAATGACTGGGTAATTCTAATCTTAGGTCTGAAACAAAACAGTAATTAATGGCAGGCACACTGTAGGGTAATGACTGGGTAACTCTCAATGTGGGTCAAAGACAGATAGAACAATGTGTTTACTAAGAGGCACTCCACAGGGTAATGATTGGGAAACTCTAAGCATGGGAATGAAACCAACAGTATCTAGGCAGAGGCACCCTGAAGGGTAATGACTGGCAAACTCTTGCCATGGGACCGAAATAAAGGTCATTTCTAATTTGAAAATTGTTAGAAATATAACTGGATCCTGTGATAATTAGTATATGTTTATATATATTTCATACCTCTGAGAGTAGCGAGTGGTGTGTCCTAGACATTAATGTATATGGGTAGTCTATATTGACTTCAACATATCACAATACTAGAAAGTTCCCTGAATATATATATATAATTCTCTACAAAACAATAGAAAATAAGAATGCAGTGTTTTAAATGATTCAATGTGAAGACAAAAAGAGGCACTTTGTTAACAGAACACTCTTACAAGTGTAGGTAGGTATATAAGTATTTTGCATGTACCTGATCAATTTACATGTTTATGACTTATATAAATCCTAGGGACTGAGACAATCACAGCCTGGTAACAATGTACCAAGACAATCTTAGGGACTGAGACAATCACAGCCTGGTAACAAAGTACCAAGACAATCTTAGGGACTGAGACAATCACAGCCTGGTAACAAAGTACCCAGACAATCTTAGGGACTGAGACAATCACAGACTGGTAACAATGTACCAAGACAATCTTAGGGACTGAGACAATCACAGTCTGGTAACAATGTACAGAGACAATCTTAGGGACTGAGACAATCACAGCCTGGTAACAATGTACCAAGACAATCTTAGGGACTGAGACAATCACAGCCTGGTAACAATGTACCAAGACAATCTTAGGGACTGAGACAATCACAGCCTGGTAACAATGTACCAAGACAATCTTAGGGACTGAGACAATCACAGCCTGGTAACAATGTACCAAGACAATCTTAGGGACTGAGACAATCACAGCCTGGTAACAATGTACCAAGACAATCTTAGGGACTGAGACAATCACAAACTGGTAACATTGTACCCAGACAATCTTAGGGACTGAGACAATCACAGACTGGTAACAATGTACCAAGACAATCCTAGGGACTGAGACTATCACAAACTGGTAACATTGTACCCAGACAATCTTAGGGACTGAGACAATCACAGACTGGTAACAATGTACCAAGACAATCTTAGGGACTGAGACAATCACAGCCTGGTACCAATGTACCCAGACAATCTTAGGGACTGAGACAATCACATCCTTGTGACAATGTACCCAGACAATCCCAAGTCTTGTTATGAAGGACTACGACAATCCCAGTCTTATTCTGATTGATAAAGACAATCCTTATCTTGTGACAGTGGACTTTGGCAATCTTAGTTTTGCTATGACAGATAAAAGGATCCTTGTGCGGTAACAATATACTGAGATAATGGAAGAACACTCACTCTTTAGTAAATAGCGGTAGGTCTGTTCCATATCTGCAGTTTCCTCGGGGGAGGGGGTTTTCGCAGTCGCTGCTATCCATAGTCTCCCTCTGTGTGCAGTGTACCATGTCCTTCCTTCATGCCTTCAGAAAATCATTAGAATATGAATATGTAAAACAGGATTATTTCTAAAATCCACTAGAAATGATGGGGAAACTTTCACATCAAGTTTAATAGACACTTTTCCATAATGTCTAAAATTCCAATTGAGTGATGATTAGAATCCATTTTACCCTAAGTACTCAAGATTTCATTCCACTCGATAAATGACAAATAATGAGGTTCACTGGGATGATCATATTGATCATAATCATACAGACTTACATTTTGATGCCACAGACAAGAAGAGATGCCCAGGGTTGGTGCATACTCATACACATCCCCTCATCAGACATTTCTTGAAGCTCACGATCCTGCAGTCGTAGACCTGTCTTCTTCTTCGATTCATCTGACCAGACTTTGTTACCAGATCTCTGATCACTGGATAAGGTACTGACAAACTGAAAAAGAAAACACTTATCCATAACCCAGTGCAAGCAGTTGTGCTAAATCTATACAATGATTATTCTATTTATCACAAATTTTCACAATTCAATGTCAACTACCACTCTCTGACATGTGTGCTCAATTATCATTTATTTGTTAATATGTAGTTTCAAATCTAAGACAAAGCTGATCAAATTATTTAACATAAAGTAAGTATTTCAGACGACATATATGAAACACTTTAATGACTGATAAATAAATATTGGACACAAAATTTCAACAAAAGATCATGACTCTGTAATTGAAGGGTTGCAGGCCCTGATATTGGTACACTACACATCCTCTTAGTATCACAAATGTATACACCAAGTTTCATGATCCTCGCTTGACTTTGAATAAATTTATGCTCTGGATATGAAAAGACAAAAGAACAAAGTAGCAACTAAATGCTCCCCAAAACAGTTTTTAGGGAGCATAAAAGTATGTCTTACATGAAACCATTCATTTAAAAGCTGTCACAAATATGAAGGATTCTGTTTGATATATTGAGATACTGTATTTTTATGGGGATATTTCTGCTATACCAAACATCAATGGGATGTATTCAAGCTGGACAAAATAGAAAACTACCACTTCACTTTTAACTACTGTTTGACAGTCTTGTGAGAATTAAACCTGTCAAAACAATCAGCTATATGATATGAAAGGAACACATACTAATGTCAACTGTACCTGTGGTGATTGCACATTGATTAGGGGATTGACTAAATCACTGAAGTCTGCTTCCTCCATTTTGAAACTTTCAGACTTTGGTTTAACTCCATAGTGAACTTGCTGAACTACTGCATCATTCATATCATACATTTGTTTACCAGCTTCATGTTCAGCTTCCAACACACGACGACCTGCAAAGTCTAATGTCACTTTCATGTCCCTTCGTGAAGCAAAACGTTCTGCACGTAATTCCTCATTGCGTTTTCGTAGTGCCTCTCGCTGTTTTTTACTTAGCCACTGGTTAGAATCGGTGGAAAAATAATCCGACTCATCATCAATAACCTTAGTCCGCTGTACACTGAAAAGTAAAGGCACAAGCTGTACTTCTTATTACAGATGTGGGTTTAGTTAATTCTGTTTCATCTACTTTATTTCTTATCTATTTATATGTACCTTGTATCCTCTGATGTCTATTTATAGATTATAGAGGAGAATTTGCTTTATCCTATTTCATCTCTTGTATATTTTTTTCAGTAAAAGTACAACATCTTTACCAGGTTACTTCTTGTCAGTATTTATACTATTTTTCACCATGACCCACTACTGTACCTGGTCTTGTCATAGTCCAACAACTTGTTTTTATGTTGTATGGCCTTCTCAAGCCCAGCATTGACCCGACTGTTCTGGTGAGGTAATGTCTTCTCTCCTGCATCCTTCATCAGTCTTTGACGAAGCTGTTCACTCTTACGTGAACCCCGCGATAACACTTCCTGTTCTTCCTGTGTACATACCAGATTACCACAGTGAAAACAAGGTCCCGAGCCCTCCTGGTCACAAACTACACGCCCACACTGGAGACAGTTGTTCACTAACTTGTGTTTTGCAGCCTGGCACTCACAGCTGTGTCGACCTATTTCAAAAAATAAATTAATTCAAAATTCGGTTTAAATGACTATTGCTTCAAATCTTTAACACAAGTAATATGAATAATGTGATCAGCACTAAAACAGAATTTATTACATGATAAAAACAAGCATATCTTTATCTATTTTCATTAAAATATTTAGGTGAATACCTTAATTATTTCAATAATCTTGGTTCTAGATATTTACATTTCATGCCTTCCCTTTATACACTAAACAAACATACATGTAAACCAGATAATTTTTTTATCAGAACCATACAAGTGGTTGTCAGAGTTCAAATGTTTTCCTGTTAAAGCTTTTTGCTAAGTTTTTTGTAACTCCCTCATTACTCGCAAAAGCTTCTTACAGTAGGAGTGCTTCTACCTACTGAATAATTTGTAAGCGTTTTCTGAAATTTTGACTTTTTCAAAGTTATATATTCAAGAACAGATTTAACAGGAAAAGATGGCAGCTGAAAGTCTTGATGTTATCTTTAAACATTCTGTATACCTGGCAGCTGAAGCACAGATTTCTCCTGTCCCTCCTGGCTGTACAGGGGAACAAACTTGGTCTTTTTCTTTGGGTCCACTACATTGGTAAGAGGGGTGTTGTCCTACATAGAGAACAATTTGCAATTAACACATTAAAAATATCTAAAACCTGTTACCAGTGAAGTGTCTTTGCTTTCTGTAAAAATGTTTTCAGTATGATAGATGGGAGATAACTCTAACTTTTTTATCTGAAAAAAATGTAATAATTTATCTTATAGGTCATGAACATAATTTTTGTAACTCAAAACGTACTGTACATGGCGATATTCCTCTTAACTTTACAATCCAAATGTAAGCTTTTCGAGAAGCAATTTTTTGTAAGTAGTAAAGGTGACCTGACATTCATACTTGGCCTCTGTGCTGGTCATTCAATTCACAACATTGAGAAAGACCCAGTAAGGTACTCAATTCTCAGTGGTGTTGTAACATCACTGATGTTAAACAAAGCTCTCTTCAGCAGATTTGGTAATGTCATTGATGGCTTACAAAATCATTTGATCTCTTTTGTAGGATAGGCGTTGCTACTGATGGCTAACAAACTATTAGATCTCTTTTGTAGGATAGGTGTTGCTACTGATGGCTAACAAACTATTAGATCTCTTTTGTAGGTTTGGCGTTGCTACTGATGGCTAACAAACTATTAGATCTCTTTTGTAGGTTTGGCGTTGCTACTGATGGCTAACAAACTATTAGACCTCTTTTGTAGGTTTGGCGTTGCTACTGATGGCTAACAAACTATTAGATCTCTTTTGTAGGTTTGGCATTGCCATTGATGGCTTACAAAACTATTAGATCTCTTTTGTAGGTTTGGCGTTGCCATTGATGGCTTACAAAACTATTAGATCTCTTTTGTAGGTTTGGCGTTGCTACTGATGGCTATCAAACCTTTAGGCTTTGTTTTGTGTATTTAGTGTCACAACTGATGGCTAACAAATCTGTAAGCTCTCATACATAAGTTTTCTATTGTGATTGCTGATAAAACAAATCTGTAAGCTTTGTTTTATGTGTTTGATGTTGCAATTGATAATTAAACAAACCTGTATGCTTTGTTTTGTGTATTTAGTGTTGCCATTGACGACCTGTTTACTAATGGAAGGTTTGCTGCTCTTGTCATTGGCCTTCTGTTTGCCTGTCCCACCTCTGCCACCAAAGTAGATATCATCGTCTGTTGATTTACGGTACACCTGAAGTTTAACATTGTAGATATAATTAACTTGTCAAAATATTGACATGTCAAGTAGTTTAAGATATGTAAAAAGTAATCAACTTCAAATTGAGTGAATTCAGTGATTTTCCTGATCCACAAGGAAGGAAAACAAATGTTATCCATTACAGTGAGCAGGCAAAATAGCCACCAAGCAGGAAAAGAATCTGTTCAATGTTTGATGTAAACTTCTCCTTCAAAATAAAACAATCATACTCAATAAAGTAACAGAGAAAGGTAACCTTGCAAAAACTGATAAGTAGTTATGATTTTATTCACGTAAAAGCCTGTTAGTGAATAGATTTGAATTAAATCAGGATACTCTTTGGCCTTGAAACTGAAAATTTAAACTTAAAAAAAAACAACTGCATAAATAAAAACCCATTACTGACATGAAACACCAACAATTTTATATTGGAAATAATCATAAATAACATTATCATCCATAGACAAATTAACAAGATTTTAAGAACACTAATTCAAACAACCTGTATGTCCTCTGGTACAGACACTGTCGCTCGCCACCTAATCAGCAACTCTTTGATAAAAGCTAGTACTTTAGGATTGCTATTGCCAAGCAACTCATGCATATACTCCTCTAAATCTTCTGCAGTTTGAATACTTAGTATGTACCTGAAAATAACAAAAAAGAATGTTGCTTCCTGAAAAGTACACTTTTATTATTATAGCACCAGAAGCAAAACACTTGGATATAGTTAACTATGAGTCTGTAAATGTATAATATTGAAAATTAGAAGACAATCAGGTCATTCTGCATATAAAAAAGTGTCTGTACATTACACCACTTAAACAAGTTACTAACTATTAATTCATTAATCTAGATGTTCCATCTTTGTTCATTATAAAGTTCAAAGTTGTAGTAATGGGGAGAAGCTTGTGTGCCAACAGAAGAAATTAGGGGTAAAAATCCAATGAAAAATAACAGAATAATGCAGCTATGCATCAAGCAATTAAAACTGTGCCTATTTTGAATCAACTTACCTTTGCTTTTACGTAGTGCCTATTTCATATCAAAATATATGTAGAAAATGGCCTATTTGTATTATATATATTCACATATTACCTATTTGCATTGTATATATATTCACACTATAAGACATGGTGATTAACTCAAACTGGATTTCTTGCTAACCAAACAAAATATTGTCTCAACATCGGATCCGTAATGTTTTGTGTGAGCCATTTTGTTAAGCTGTATCACAAGGCAAGTCAACTATTGACCTGCGTGACCTGACAGATGAAAAAATAACTTTATTTAAATAGTTTGTGTTATAACGAAGAACACTACCAAGTATGACTCACTTGAGGGAAAAGGACCAAACTATTAATATCCGATCTCACTGGTGATATTTGGTTTGTGTTATGACTGAAACTTACATTGAGTGTTTTTATATTTTTTTTATTTCATCGCCCTGCATACCTTTCACTGGTCAGTCTTTCACATAAATCAATTCAATTCATTTTGTGTATTTATTTAGTTTCAATTCTTCGATGTAACGTAGCTAACGAGATAAGATTATTAAGGGACCCGAAACAAATAATATAATTCGCCAATTGTAGTTATAATGTGTAAATATGTATAGATCTGTTATATACCAGGGACGTGGATATACATATCTAACCTTAATCGAAACTTTATGGTCTGCATAATCTTTATAAATCATATGTACCTCCATCTTATAAGAAGTTTCATTTTGAGATTCTGGACATATCTTTTCCCAAGCATAGTAAAAAAATCTGCAAGATTGCACAACCAGCTGGCCACGAGACCGCAATGGGATAACGCAACCTCCCTAAATACAAGTTTACGCGCGAAATTGAAATACGAACGTCATTTTCCGAAAAGTCGTAACATTAAATAAATACAATAAATCATACAAACTTAGCGTTATCCTCTGAAGCTGGCAATCCAAGCTTTTCCAGTTCCACACACATCCACTCTTCTACCGAAGTCGACATGTTTCCTCCGGAACCACTCGGACCTCTCTTACTTCTACAAAGTTTTGGGTGAAATATATTAAATTTCCGAACAGTAAGGCCAACAGCAGACGATATATTGATGGTAACTGTAAGCTTAACGGTTATACCGGAGACATGACAGAAATGATGTGACATCTATTACAAAGGCATGCGATTTTGATAACAAAACCTTTAAAGACGCTTAAGCCAGTGGTAATGGGAAATTATTATTTAATCACAGGCGTGTAAGCTCATTTTAGCAAATAGACGGGGTGTACACAAGGTTTCATGACTAGATTTATATGGACAGGCACCTTGGGCCAAGATGATTTAAACAAATCAGGCCATCATATGTACGTACATTTAGAAATGCTTTTTGTAAACAGGGCCTTTACCGGCAAATATGTGATCACTATAAACCAGACCTTTATAGACAGGTAGTTGATCTGTAGACACCTACAGTATATATATAGACATGTTTGGTAATCATACTTTATAGACAGGCATGTGACTTTGATAAAGAAGACTTTTGTATACATGTATGATGTTATGATTAACAGATAATTTATGAATAGGTATTTGATATTTATAAACCAGACCTTCATAGGCATGTAGGTATTTGATATGTTAAACCTACTGTTATGTCCTTGGCACATTAGTTTCAGACCCCATGATTATTTTTTGCTAGCTACACTATGTTGATGAATGTTAATAGTAAAAATTTCTTTATGTTCAGAGGACAACATGTTCAGTACAAGTATAATTATCTTCCACATGGCCCTCTCAAATGATTAATCATAAACAAATACTAACAATCAATCACATTTTTACATATCAAACATCGTCCTAGATATCAATTCATCCTCAGACGCCAATGTTTTGTTGTCATCTGTCATGTAAATAAAAATTGACCACAAATAATGGGCCAAGCCTTCTTACAATGTTTTGGCTATGAAAGTCCCAACTTGCATGTCTTTTATTGAAAAAAAGCAAGAGGTCCAATGGGCCTGCAGCACTCACCTGGCATGTGTATATATATATATAAGCAAATTTGACCCCTGTGATCTTGAAAATACGCCAAGGTTACTTCTTTACACAAAGTTTGTCGGGCTGCATCCTTGGAACATATCTGCCTAATATCTTGCCTATAGCTCTAGGCCTTTGAGTTAATGAGAAGAAGTCATTTGAATGATTTAACAGTGTCCTTGAATGTAAGTCAAGTTCATTTCTTTTAATAAATTTTTGTTTGGCTTGATCTTAGGAACATGCCAGCCAAATATAATGCCTTTAGGCCTTTTAGTTCATGAGAAGGAGTTGTTTGAATGTTCTAACAAGTCTGACTCTGTGACCTTGAATATATGTCAAGGTTGTTTCTTTTTGCACACTTTGTTGGGCTTCGAATGTGTGATCCCATTCAAATGATGATTATATGTAATACATGTGTATTTCTGGGTCACTGTAAGCTATCTTAAGTGTCTCTGAGATTATGTGATGTCATAAGCCAGACCTCTAGTGCAGGTGTCATGCATCCAAACTAATCTTTACAGTGTAAGCAGACCTTATGACAGGTGTGATCTCCAAATATTGTTTATCTATAATATGACATATTGATTAATCTTTACTAGTGTAAGTTAGACCTCTATTGACCTCTATTGACAGGTGTGATCTCCAAACTAATCTTTACTAGTATAAGTCAGACCTCTATTGACAGGTGTGATCTCCAAACTAATCTTTACTAGTATAAGTCAGACCTCTATTGACAGGTGTGATCTCCAAACTAATCTTTACTAGTGTAAGCCAGACCTCTATTGACAGGTGTGATCTCCAAACTAATCTTTACTAGTGTAAGCCAGACCTCTATTGACAGGTGTGATCTCCAAACTAATCTTTACTAGTGTAAGCCAGACCTCTATTGACAGGTGTGACAGATCCCCAAACTAATCTCTACATGTGTAAGCCAGACCTCTATTGACAGGTGTGATCTCCAAACTAATCTTTACTAGTGTAAGCCAGACCTCTATTGACAGGTGTGACAGATCTCCAAACTAATCTTTACTAGTGTAAGCCACCTAATGTGATCTAAACTAATCTTTACTGTAAGCCAGACCTCTATTGACAGGTGTGATCTCCAAACTAATCTTTACTAGTGTAAGCCAGACCTCTATTGACAGGTGTGATCTCCAAACTAATCTTTACTAGTATAAGCCAGACCTCTATTGACAGGTGTGATCTCCAAACTCTAAAGCCAGACCTCTATTGACAGGTGTGTCTCCAAACTAATCTTAAAGCCAGACCTCTATTGACAGGTGTGACAGATCTCCAAACTAATCTCTTCTAGTGTAAGCCAGACCTCTATTGACAGGTGTGACAGATCTCCAAACTAATCTCTTCTAGTGTAAGCCAGACCTCTATTGACAGGTGTGACATATCTCCAAACTAATCTCTACTAGTGTAAGCCAGACCTCTATTGACAGGTGTGACAGATCTCCAAACTAATCTCTACTAGTGTAAGCCAGACCTCTATTGACAGGTGTGATCTCCAAACTAATCTTTACTAGTATAAGTCAGACCTCTATTGACAGGTGTGACAAATCTCCAAACTAATCTCTTCAAGTGTAAGCCAGACCTCTATTGACAGGTGTGATCTCCAAACTAATCTTTACTAGTGTAAGCCAGACCTCTATTGACAGGTGTGACAGATCCCCAACCTAATCTCTACATGTGTAAGCCAGACCTCTATTGACAGGTGTGATCTCCAAACTAATCTCTTCTAGTGTAAGCCAGACCTCTATTGACAGGTGTGACAGATCCCCAAACTAATCTCTACATGTGTAAGCCAGACCTCTATTGACAGGTGTGACAGATCCCCAAACTAATCTTTACATGTGTAAGCCAGACCTCTATTGACAGGTGTGACAAATCTCTAAACTAGTATAAGTCAGACCTCTAACTAATCTTTACTAGTGTAAGCAGACCTCTATTGTGTAAGTGTAAGCAGACCTCTATTGACAGGTGTGATCTCCAAACTAATCTTTGTGTAAGCTCTATTGACAGGTGTAAGATCAGTGTTATTGACAGGTGTGATCTCCAAACTAATCTTTACTAGTATAAGTCAGACCTCTATTGACAGGTGTGATCTCCAAACTAATCTTTACTTGTGTAAGCCAGACCTCTATTGACAGGTGTGACAGATCTCCAAACTAATCTTTACTAGTATAAGTCAGACCTCTATTGACAGGTGTGATCTCCAAACTAATCTTTACTAGTGTAAGCCAGACCTCTATTGACAGGTGTGATCTCCAAACTAATCTCTTCTAGTGTAAGCCAGACCTCTATTGACAGGTGTGACAGATCCCCAAACTAATCTCTACATGTGTAAGCCAGACCTCTATTGACAGGTGTGACAGATCTCCAAACTAATCTCTTCTAGTGTAAGCCAGACCTCTATTGACAGGTGTGACAGATCTCCAAACTAATCTCTTCTAGTGTAAGCCAGACCTCTATTGACAGGTGTGACAGATCTCCAAACTAATTGGTACTTGTGTAAGTCAGACCTCAATGAACAGTTATGACAGATCTCCAAACTAATCTTTACTTGTGTAAGCCAGACCTATATTGACAGGTGTGACAGATCTCTAAACTAATCTTTACTAGTATAAGTCAGACCTCTATTGACAGGTGTGATCTCCAAACTAATCTTTACTTGTGTAAGCCAGACCTCTATTGACAGGTGTAATCTCCAAACTAATCTTTACTAGTGTAAGCCAGACCTCAATTGACAGGTGTGACAGATCTCCAAACTAAACTGTACTTGTGTAAGTCAGACCTCTATTGACAGGTATGACAGATCTCCAAACTAATCTCTTCTAGTGTAAGCCAGACCTCTATTGACAGGTGTGACAGATCTCCAAACTAATCTTTACTAGTGTAAGCCAGACCTCTATTGACAGGTGTGACAGATCCCCAAACTAATCTCTACATGTGTAAGCCAGACCTCTATTGACAGGTGTGACAAATCTCTAAACTAATCTGTACTTGTGTAAGCCAGACCTCTATTGACAGGTGTGATCTCCAAACTAATCTCTACATGTGTAAGTCAGACCTCTATTGACAGGTGTGACATATTTCCAAACTAATCTCTACTAGTGTAAGCCAGACCTCTATTGACAGGTGTGACAGATCTCCAAACTAATCTCTACAAGTGTAAGCCAGACCTCTATTGACAGGTGTGACAGATTTCCAAACTAATCTCTACTAGTGTAAGCCAGACCTCTATTGACAGGTGTGACAGATTTCCAAACTAATCTCTACTAGTGTAAGCCAGACCTCTATTGACAGGTGTGACAGATCTCCAAACTAATCTCTTCTAGTGTAAGCCAGACCTCTATTGACAGGTGTGACAGATCTCCAAACTAATCTCTACTAGTGTAAGCCAGACCTCTATTGACAGGTGTGACAGATCTCCAAACTAAACTGTACTTGTGTAAGTCAGACCTCTATTAACAGGTGTGACATATTTCCAAACTAATCTCTACATGTGTAAGCCAGACCTCTATTGACAGGTGTAATCTCCAAACTAATCTTTACTAGTATATCAGACCTCTATTGAACTAATCTTTACTAGTGTAAGCTCTATTGACAGGTGTGACAGATCTCAGACCTCTATTGACAGGTGTTATCTCCAAACTAATCTTTACTTGTGTAAGCCAGACCTCTATTGACAGGTGTGACAGATCTCCAAACTAATCTTTACTAGTGTAAGCCAGACCTCTATTGACAGGTGTGACAGATCTCCAAACTAATCTTTACTAGTATAAGTCAGACCTCTATTGACAGGTGTGATCTCCAAACTAATCTTTACTTGTGTAAGCCAGACCTCTATTGACAGGTGTGACAGATCTCCAAACTAATCTTTACTTGTGTAAGCCAGACCTCTATTGACAGGTGTGACAGATCTCCAAACTAATCTTTACTAGTATAAGTCAGACCTCTATTGACAGGTGTGATCTCCAAACTAATCTTTACTAGTGTAAGCCAGACCTCTATTGACAGGTGTGACAGATCTCCAAACTAATCTCTTCTAGTGTAAGCCAGACCTCTATTGACAGGTGTGACAGATCTCCAAACTAATCTCTTCTAGTGTAAGCCAGACCTCTATTGACAGGTGTGACAGATCTCCAAACTAATCTGTACTTGTGTAAGTCAGACCTCTATTGACAGGTGTGACAGATCCCCAAACTAATCTCTACATGTGTAAGCCAGACCTCTATTGACAGGTGTGACAGATCTCCAAACTAATCTTTACTAGTGTAAGCCAGACCTCTATTGACAGGTGTGACAGATCTCCAAACTAATCTTTACTAGTATAAGTCAGACCTCTATTGACAGGTGTGATCTCCAAACTAATCTTTACTAGTATAAGTCAGACCTCTATTGACAGGTGTGACAGATCTCCAAACTAATCTTTAAGGACAGGTGTGATCTCCAAACTAATCTCTACTAGTGTAAGCCAGACCTCTATTGACAGGTGTGATCTCCAAACTAATCTTTACTAGTGTAAGCCAGACCTCTATTGACAGGTGTGATCTCCAAACTAATCTTTACTAGTATAAGTCAGACCTCTATTGACAGGTGTGACATATTTCCAAACTAATCTCTACTAGTGTAAGCCAGACCTCTATTGACAGGTGTGACAGATCTCCAAACTAATCTCTTCTAGTATAAGCCAGACCTCTATTGACAGGTGTGATCTCCAAACTAATCTTTACTAGTATAAGCCAGACCTCTATTGACAGGTGTGATCTCCAAACTAATCTCTTCTAGTGTAAGCCAGACCTCTATTGACAGGTGTGACAGATCTCCAAACTAATCTTTACTAGTATAAGTCAGACCTCTATTGACAGGTGTGACAGATCTCCAAACTAATCTCTACTAGTGTAAGTCAGACCTCTATTGACAGGTGTGACAAATCTCCAAACTAATCTCTTCAAGTGTAAGCCAGACCTTTATTAACAGGTGTGACATATTTCCAAACTAATCTCTACTAGTATAAGTCAGACCTCTATTGACAGGTGTGACAGATCTCCAAACTAATCTCTACTAGTGTAAGCCAGACCTCTAGTGTGATCTCTTAATCTTTAGGTGAGACATCTCCAAACTAATCTTCATGTGTACAGGTGTGATTTTATCTTTACTAGTATAAGACAGACCTCAAACTAATTTTCCATTGTGAGCCCTTTTTTCTGTATATATATTACCATATAAATATTTGAAGGAATATTTTAAAAGTCAACTTTTTCACCAATTCAATAGGTCGGAAAATCAGTCTTCTCTGCAAAGTGTCAGTGAGTCACCTGTCTAATGCTGCATGATCATATTTGCATTTTGTTTCAGTGTATGAAGGTCATTGTCATAGGTTAATATAGTTTGATCATTTCAGTAAATTTATGTCAACATCACTGGACAACATAGCCTAAATATATCAGTGAATGTAGGTCACAGGTCATAGTTCAATATGGTCTGAATATAAGAAATAACAAGACAAACAAGGCAGATTGTGTTACAACAATTTAATGACCAGGATATCTTGCAATAAAAACAGGTACAACACACAGCAATATGTTGATCCATAAAAATAGTTATCTAACGTCCACAGACATGATGATGACCTATAGAGAGACGGTGGTACAAGGGTAAGGCAGAACAGCTTTGTGTCATCATACTAAAATAACCGTCCCAGTGTCTGTGCAGTATCTAAGGCATCGGACACAACACAGTGTGTGAACAAGTCGTTGATGAACTCACACTAACAAATGTTCAGGGGAAGTGCTACCCTTTCAAATAATCCTTTACAAAAATGATATACAAATCATGTAACAGTGATCCAGCATATGTAATTACACATATTCAAACATTTGATTTCTCTTTATCCCAGAATACAAAGTGACATTTTATATAATGTATATATAGCCTTAATAAAAAATACCAGTAGAGTATGCTAATTTGTTATCTATATATAGAACATCCTTTCAATCACATATTACGCTACTGTAGACACACAAAGTCAAACAATAAGCAGTTATGTCAGCAATCGGTCTCGGTGTTACAAGAAAATAGTCTTACTGTTAAAAACCAAAATTTCAATAAAAATCCATTAATTCTCTGATCTACACCATGACAACCAACATGAAATACTTTTTCAAACAAAACATTCAACATTTGAAAATAATTCCATTTCAAAAGTTTACAATAAAAACTTAACAATTACCAGGTAAATGTTTAACATTGTTAAAATGATAACTGTAACCCTGATCTTTAGACATCTAAACAAAACACTTCATTTTTCAAAAAAAAAAAAAAAATCTGGTGGTAAAAGCAAACAATATTGAATTATAGTCTGAATATAAAAATATCATTCCCTGTAAAATGATTAAGAACTAATTATCTAACAAGCACTGTTTTGTAACAAGTAACAAACCTGACATGTATACCATCAATGTAATGCAGGCCAGTGAAACCTCCAAAATCAAACACCGTTATGCAGGCCAGTGAAATCTCCAAAATCAAACGCCCTTACACAGGCCAGTGAAATTTCTAAAATCAAACATTCTTACACTGGCCAGTGAAATTTCTAAAACCAAACACCCTTACACAGACCAGTAAAATTTCTAAATTCAGACACTGTTACACATGTACAGGCCAGTGAAATCTCTAAAATCAAACACTGTAACATTGACCTGTGAAATCTCTAAAATCAAAAACCCTTGATAAATAACACAATCAACATCTAATATGGTATACAACATCATCAAAGCTAATCTGTATGACAGTGTAACTGACCAGACATACTGAGTTCAGGATCTATATTATCTTACATTGATAGCATCTCCATTCCAAAAGAGTTCCCACTTGGACATATGTATATTTTGCAAACTAAATGCAACATTTTTTGTTGATAAACTTTTTAAAAATTGTCTAAAGATCTGAAAGAATATGAGAGCCAATCATGCTTAAATGACAGTAATTGTTCTGAATATAACGCTTTTAATGTTTTTAACAAAATAGCTCAAAATAATAACTTCAAGGTATATGATGGCAAATTCTCTTATACCATTAAGGTTAAATAACAAAAAAAAAAAAAAAAAATAATATCCTGGAAAAATCATGTGTGACCATTGGATGGTTCAGTGAAAGTCTGTTTCAAAATCATCTAATGCCTGAACAGGTGAATTAAAACTGAAATTTTAAAGCAACCTTTTTTAACATAAAAGTATGGCACGTGCAGATTAAGTAGATTTCTTTCCCTTGACTAACATATCCTGTTAATGAATATTTTCTATCTGAATTTCATACATCAGATAATCATGATTTTATTTTTTTGATTTAAATGATAATAAAGGTGTGACTATTGAACACTTCATGAATATTCCTTTGAACATTTCTTGAGAAAACTTAATTTTCCAGTGAGTCCTAACTACTAACACCACAAAAACTAACAAGTACAACTTAATAGCAAAATAATATGTAAAAATGAGGAAACACAAACATAAGTCCAGCTTATGTCATGAATTACGCTTACACATATATCCAAATATTTTAATGTTACATCGTCAACATAATTTCTACTGTATGTAACCCTTCAAGGTAGATAACATCACTATGATTTACATACAATCTTGTCAATGAACAGGTTACTAAGGTAGATAACTCCTCTGTTACGTAAACACAGGTGGTACGAAAGATCTCATCTATGTATCAGTTACTAAGGAAGATAACTACCCTGTGACCTATACACATGTGTTACAAGAAATCTTTGTATAGGTGACTAAGGTATATAACTCCTCTGTGACCTATAAACATGTGGTATGGGAGGTCCCATCTATGTATCTGTTACTTAAGTAGATATCTCATGAGTGACCTATACACACACATGGTATGGGAGATCTCATTTATGTATAGGTTACTAAGGTAGATAACTCCTGTGTGACCTATAAACACCAAGTGGTACGGGAAGTCCCATTTATATATAGGTTACTAAGGTAGATAACTCCTGTGTGACCTATACACACCAAGTGGTACGGGAAGTCCCATTTATATATATATATAGGTTACTAAGGTAGATAACTCCTGTGTGACCCATACACACAAAGTGGTACGGGAAGTCCCATTTATATATAGGTTACTAAGGTAGATAACTCCTGTGTGACCTATACACACCAAGTGGTACGGGAAGTCCCATTTATATATATATAGGTTACTAAGGTAGATAACTCCTGTGTGACCCATACACACAAAGTGGTACGGGAAGTCCCATTTATATATATAGGTTACTAAGGTAGATAACTCCTGTGTGACCTATACACATGTGGTACGAGAGGTCCTGTCTATGTATAGGTTGCTAAGGTAGATAACTCCTGTGTGACCTTTACCCACCAAGTGGTACAGGTGGTCCTGACCATGTATCGGTTATTAAGGTAGAACTCCTTACTGATCTATACAAATTAACAACTCTTGCCAAAGTTTCACATGAAAATATAACCTATTAATCTTCAAAAGGGCAATTAAATAATACATATAACAAACTACCTCCTGCACAAAATTAATCAACATAGTTATTACAATAAATTAAGTATCAAGCATAAATATATTACAACTCGCAAAAAAAAACAACTTATAAGTCGCTGTATCACCTTTAAAGTGCCACATTCTAATGATACAGTGTATGTACAATCAGCAACATATTCCTAGAATAACTTTTTGAAGTCTTATGATAGGGAGGATCAAGTTGCAAGTGATCCTGTAGTCAAATGCAGCAATTCAGCCATACAGAGGTAACAAACATACACATGGCACTACGATATGCAAGGAACTGGTATGATATGCAGGGTATACAGCACACAATATGTTAGATACTTGTTGAATAGGCAGAGCATGTTAAAATGTGAGATACTGGTACAATACCCAAAGTCCTGGTATCATTCCTAAGGTGTTGGTACAACTTTTGGTAATGCTGTTACTTTTATATGAAATCTTCCTACAGTTTCAATGGTAGACAATTAACTGTAAACTTATGTTTTGAATAACTGATTATCATACAATGTGCACTACTTTGAAAACAGGTGCTTGTAGTATGTGATAACCAGTACGGACCACACATTTAGTTGACACTGTTTATCTTGGAGATTTGACCCCAACAACATATTCAGAAAGATGGTATTTTCCCATCAGGTAACATACACAGTCAATATCAGACAACAAATATTGTTAATGGGACACTTGTGGCAACTACTCTCGTATGACACAGTTTGTTTAAACATTTCTATAGAATAACAGTCATTATACTTTATAAATAAGCAGTTGTCGCTTGTGGGAAAATAAAATATGAAGTGAAATGTTTATGATAGACAATTTACAATAATAAATATTCTCCTGTTGACCTTAACATATGTCAAACACATGCTAACCTTGACCTTCAACCTTTACATATGGTATTTCTATACATGGTAAAGTACCAAATGTTTGCTTGTGATTTTTGTATATGTATTGAAAGCTTTTATTGCGAAATAACCAAAATTATGTACTTTGTAGTTTAATGCATGCCTATCTTGTGACTGGTTAGGGCCAGTCTACCAGTAAGTGTTTGGATATTTGTATTGGGAGTCAAACAATTTCCATAAAATACAGGTATCTGTGGTCTGGGGATAAGACTAGAACTGTGCCTTACTTGCAGGATTTCTGGTGAGGAGGACAAGGTCAAAATTGCAGCTAGTGCTTATGAGTGCATTTTTGGAAAATAAGGGTGGCCTGTCTATGGCAGATTATTTGGAACTATGCCACTGTGCTAGGGGTACATGAGCTATATGTGGCATAATGACATTGCGCACTGGGGACATAAACTATGTGATATGAACTATATGATAGGAATGCTTCTGTCTAATTCAAAGTCAAATCTAAACTTCAAAATTTACATATTTGGCACAAAGCATAATGTTCTGCATTTGTTGTGAGAAAACATGATGACCTGGTCTTTGATAGGATTACATGTGGGGAAGATGTGAATTTTACTATTACAGTCATAGACATATGAAATGGCTCATCAATAATGTTCCACATGCATACCTACAGTTCTCAGTATACATAAAAATAATATTGAGTTTTCCTTTTAAAGATAAATAGATTTTGATTAAGACTATTACACCTGAGCTCTAGTGGCAGTCTTTGCCTCTGATAATCACAGCAGAGTCTGCCCAAAATACTCAATTGTATTCTCTTTATGTTATGTAAATGTACCTGATGTACTGAAGTTTTCTTTGCCAAAATGCTTTAATGCTCAATCTAATGGGATCAATTTGTAATTGAATGACTGAGTTTGGAGTCACACACCATTTTTTAAACATTTTGTATGACCTTCACCTCGAAATTTAAAACACATTTTTTTAATTCAATATCTAGAAATATACAAGGTCATGGTCATTCCATTATAAATTTGATATGTGACCTTGAAGTACATTATCAAAAATACTAACACAAATGTACGACATGTAGTTAAGTGCTAAATTTTAATTGATTACCTAATGCCAACTGTATAATGATATAAAAAACAGGAGGCTTAAGGGCCTTAACGGTCACCTGAGTTCTATGAAAATAACTGTCATTTCAGCTATCAAATCATGTGATCAAGAATAACCTGAACTACGTTGTACACCTGACATTACAGTTTCATATCATGTTAATAATTCTAACCAAATCTGAATTATTTCCAATGGAAATTAAACGATCATATAAATGAAAATGGTAGGTAATTTTACCCTCTGCTGGGATGAGGAAGGGAATGAAATTCGACCCTGGATTCAAAGAATGCCCAATGTGATAATGCACCTTTTGACCATTTTCGCTACTTAGCCCCTGGAGTTCATCCAGGGTCATTTTGTACATATACTTATAATTCACATAAACTATAGTAAACTTTCCCTCCTTTTCAGGGGTCATGAACTTCACAATTTTGGTAACACATCTCAAGACCCACAGAGATTATTGAATTCTACCTACCTAAATCTAAAGAAGAAAATTTGTGAAATTTCAGTCAATTTGATACTGTTTGACTCCGCCTATGAGTTCCTAGGGGTTAGCCTGAGTCAATATGTGCATACCATCAAACTGCTATCCAATATAGTATTAATTCTTACAAAGTTTGAATTATTTCCAATTAAAATATTTTCAGGACATTTTATAGTCTGAAGTAGAAGATTGTTGAAATTTTGGCCAATATTACTCATTTATAGCCTGTCCTGTAATCCAGAGGCCAGGTCAGGGTCAAAACTGACAAAGTATCAAAGTTTCATTTCATTGGTTAAATACCAGTCAAATATGATTGATTAATGACAGGAAATAAATAAAATATAACCAAAAGGATCATTTTCTTATAGAGAAATAAATAGCTTTGATATAAATAACCTTAAGACCCTCCCATCTATTCAAGCCATTTTGACCCCATTCCTCAGAAACCCTCAGAGATGAGGACCATACAATAAAAAAATTGGTTGCAACTTTGACCAAGGAATGTTCCCACCAAATTTCAATGAATTGGTTCAAGTAGTTTATTAGAAGATCAAAAATGTAAATTATTTAAAAATGTATGATGGATGACACACGACAGACAAAAGGTGATTAGAATAAGTCACTTGAGACTTAATCTCAGGTGACCTAAAATCCCCAACAGTTAACATATTGGTCTCCTAAATTGTGTATGTTGTTATAACTAAGGCCGATGTTCCAGGAGGATGCCCTGGATATTCAGTGATGTTATGCCTGAAGGTTCAAGGGTCTCGGTCACCAAAGAGACCATGACCTACTGATATGTTGTCGCTATTGACTTCTGGTAGATGTATTATAATTGAACAAATTTGGTAGCACTTCATTTTTCGGGCAGGCACTTGTGAGAAACATTTTGATCCTGCAGTATAAAAGTGTGTAACAATGATGTATTTACAGGCTTATGTTTTGATGAGGGCCGTGAGAGGAGGGAACCCCATAAACATTGAGGCACCACAGTCAATGAGGCTTCATTACTAATGAGGTACCACATTACTAACAGGAACCAGATGATCATTGGGCATCACTTAACTGATGCAGCAATATGTCATGAATGGAAAGCACATCACCATTGAGGCACCACATCACCATTGAGGCTCCACATCACAGACGAGGCACCATAATACAGACTACAGGTACCAAACAACAGCACAAACAAAACACTACATGACTACCATATTTTACCCTTGTCACAGTATATTTAGTTCAAACATTACTGTATGTTGTATGTCATAACCTTCCTGTAGAATTCACCTCATGTACATAATATTGAAACTTTAACATACTCTTAAAGTCATCAGAATCACAGAGAATGTGTATACTGAAAAATATTAAACTAATTTGTCCAGATTGATCTTTATCGTTGTGGACAAAAAACAAGTCATCAGTATAGAACCCTCAGTCAGTCATGACAATCATGTTTTACCTGAGGTGGAAATAAAGGTAATAATAAATTGATTGACTAAAGATAACTTGTTGATGGAGTGTCGCTATTTCTAAGATAACAGTCTAATAACTTCCAATGTCAGATATCAACATTATTACATGATATTACTGAGGAAATAGTTGAGGAAAATTTTGTGAGGTATGAAACACAATACAACACCTTCCTGATACCACCAACAATAATGTGCAAGGGCCACAACAGGGACAACCATCATCACAGGATTTATGAAACATCCTTCATAGGATTATCTCATTGAGTCATACAAAAATAGGCAACAAATCATTTCTCATCATTAATGGATAAAATTTGATTAATGCAGATTCATATTTTTGGCAGCATGCACTTTCAAATAGCACTGTGTTTGAGAAATATCTGTTTACTGTATAGAAGCACTATTAAACAATTGAAGAGACATGTCTATCATATCATATTTACAAAGGCATTGTTGTCACTGCTCAGGAAAGCCAGATCTACACGTCTGCCACATTATATATATTACTGAACCATCTAATCAAAAATGTCTTTCATCTGCAATTCTTACATTGTATCCTGTGCAATTTTTTCATTCATACTGATTTAAACGACTTTTTAATCAATACTTAAGTAATAATTGTCTCAAAATTCTGAAGGAACACTTTTCAACCATGCATTATGGGATAGATTTTCAGGTCATCGTGACTACACAAGTCATCAACACAAATACCTACAAACATCGATTACACATTGAGTTATTTCCCCTCACTAACATTATGTATACAACCAATACAGTGGTAATGACATTACAGGACCATGTTGGTCCATTAATTATGGCATTATCCTTAATTGTGTTTTTTTTTTTTACAAAATGAATTATAAAGCTGACCTAAGTACCAAAACTTATGACTGGTGACAGGTGAGAGTGAAGGGAACATTGTCGACAAACATGGTTACTATATACAATGAAATACACCAGGATGAAGGCACATGCACTTAAAAATGTAACCATGGTAACACAAAAAATATACGTAGCAAAGGGGTCCAAATCTCTTTCTTCCACATGGTAAAGGCCAAGGTCAATTCAAGGTCAGGACAAGGTCAAGTATCCAGGTATGTACTCTGGGTTTTACCCAGCAATCTTTCTACATTATATATTTTTACATACATGACAAGCACCCTGCTGACCTCAAGAATCTTGTGATCTCGCACTTTTTATACCCCAGGAGATCCAGCAACCTTGGCACCCACTGTCATTCTCACATACAAGTTTATTTATATATATGTTACAGAGGAGAGACATTTTTGACCCCTATAATTGACACGGGTCTCAGGTTGTCCATCCATGGTCTACACGAGTCCGCTTTAATAAAGGTCCATCATATTCCAGAGACTGTGAGTTTGCGTTTGGAGATGAATTGTTACTATGTGTGTGATTCATGTGTACAGGTGATAGATGGCCTTGACCTGATGAAGGTGGTCGCAGTGAATGGAGATTTGATGGTGTTGTTGAGTCTCGCGGCGGCGATATTGGCTCACTCTTGATGTGCATCGGCATGTTGTGATTCATTGTGTTGATAGCCAGTGGAGATAGATGCCCGCCACCAGGGTTATTGGACCTGTGGAAACAGAATTAAAAATGTTTATATAAAATTCTTGGGTTATTAGACCTAGAGTCTTGATTAAGTAGAAAGTAAGAAGAAATACTATGAATATAATAGTATCTTAGAAGAGTTATGCCCCTTTAGTTGATAAACTAAGTGCCTAATTGAACAACACTGGATTAAACCTTTACTTCAGTTTTTTGATAGACTTTCAGTTTGGAACAATGACTGTTGATGTCATTTGTAGTGTAGGCAAAGAATCCTATTACAATCAAATTCTATGAAATGAATAACACCTATACTAATGTATATATAAGCTAGATACAAATATGAATTGCAATTATCACTTATTCCACACATAATCATTCATTTTTTTCTTGAATGATCCAGATTAAGTCATTCACTCTGTCTATCTTTTTGAGTGATTTTCACTGTGACACCTACCCAGGCGGTACTTGGAGGCCCCCAGGAGGAATCCCTGAACACAGCGACCCCTGACCACTCCAGTGTAGGTGTGAATAGTTGGACATTGGAACACTCATGTCGGAATTGTTTAAAGGATAATCATCTGAAAGAATTAGCAACATTCTAATTACTTAACATGAAACAAAATTTTCAAGAATAAATTTTAACTTGCCATACATGCCTTAACAGGCAAACTCTAAGCCAATTGGAAGTGGTGAACCATATCTTCACACTGAACTCTAAATCAATGAAAATGGGTGAATCAGATGATAGTTTAACAGAAATTGCTTAGAAAGTCAGTGAACAACTTTTAGCATTCAATATGGACTATCCGTACTAACAATAACAACAAGGACTTACTCGAATGGTAGGTGGTAGGGAGAGGGGACGGATAGTTGGAGCCTTGAATACTGGGTGTTGTTAGAGATACGGCGGGTGTGTGCATGGAGGCGTTCGTAGGTCTGGCTTGTGGCTAAAAAAAAAAAAACATTCACGTAAGCGTCATAATTCATCAACATTTAACCTGAGAACACTGTTGAAATCCATCTATAATATCATCTCCTGTGATTGACATTGAAAATCCAAACAATATTATGTTGTATATGTGATTACATGTGTTCAGTGTTATAGCATATCTGTAGTTGTCACATTCTGTGTGATTATTCTGGAAGACTTGAACAACAGAATTTCTTCTGTCTGAAGAATTTTACTTTTTTTCTTTCTAATATTACATATGAAATGTAATTCAGCAGGTTGTTGTCTCATGGTAAAGTCAATTCTTCAAGTCAACAATGTTTGTAGCTGTCTACTTAGCATTCTAGTACATCAGTTGTGTTTGTGTACATGTACTAGTCAGTGTTTGTTAAATAACTCCTCCAACAATTTTCTTGCGGCCACACATCCTGAGGTTCTCTGAAGGTCATTCACAATGATAAGTAACAAACATCTCAAAATTCTCTTATTACTGTTATTTGCAATCGTAAGCACCAACATCCTCAAGATTCTGTGACAGCTATTTGCAATCAAAAGTACCAACATCCCCTGAAATCTGTGACAGCCATTTGCAATAAGTTACAAACATCACTTTAGATACAGACATAATACATTATGGATAACTACACAGAGGATAAAGAAAGATAACTCTGGCTTACGTCTGGGCTCATCATGTCATTTCTGTTGCTGTGGATCATAGGTCGTACACTGTGGGGCCCTCTTGAAGGAGGTGATTGTCGAGACATGCCTTTGTTTCCCATCGCCCCTGGGGAGGGGCATGGAGAATTGTGATGATGGTAACCATTAGCTGGAGAACTCACAGACATATCCACCATTCCACCTATATCATACAAAGTAACAAAACATTACTGAAGAAACAGTCAGTGGTACACATCTATGTGGTACTTGTAAAATATATCATGTGCTATCCAACAATGATTGAAGGAGTTGGATTTGAAAAGAAAGACATCTTGATTGAAAATTTCCTCTTTGTTACAAGTTTAGATGTGATGATATATTTCTGTAGAAAACATCTTGGTCATTGGAGAGGTATACTAACCTGTGGAATTTGGTCTGGGGCTGCCACTGGGGTGTACCACGGGTGGGTGGAGCAGGTTAGGATTACCATTGGGGTTAGGAGACATCCCATGACCCTGAGGGATAGGTGACTGACTCATGTAGGTGGGGTTGTGTATAGGCATCCCTGAGGTGACACCAGGAGGCATGCCTGGGTTAGGATACGGTGACATTCCGTGCTGTAAAACAATTCGTAAAGAGTTAGACACTAAGGAAGTTTTTTTGTGCTAATAACTGAAAAATCAAACAGTAAAATGATATGGCTTCTTGTCAAGGTGACATTACTAACAAAGATTCTTTTATCATTGACTATAAGATAAAACTACAGCCTGATTTATTAGCCTGATGCTGTTAAATGTTTGGTTAAGGTTAAGGTCTGATTCTTCTGGGAATGACACCATTAAGACTATAGTGCTGGTAGTCCTTACTCAATAGGGTGTGACACTGTTTTATGTGAAACAAGAATGAATTTTTGAGGGTTGTGTCCCTTAATATGAATTAGGTATCTCTGCATTTGTATACCTATTGATCAAAATCTAAGTAAACTGTTAGTGGGAGATTGTAATCTATGTGCCATGAATGTATGGCATATGTAGTTTGAGAGAATTTGTGTATTTTAGAAAAGTTGAGAGTGATAGCAGTTGAGTTGTACGGGTTGTGATATGTAACATCATTATCCTGAATATGTAACTGAATATATGAGAAAAATGTATTGAAACATGGGAAGCAGCTGAGGAAGCTGGGAAACTATACAGAAGCTAATGACTGGTATTTCTTCAATGTTTGAAGTGTGGTGTTATTCCCTGGATGTTAAGCTGTGTGGTTTTGATTGTCTCAGTTGGTTTTTCTTTGTGTTGTTGTAAGTTGCCATTGTAGATGCTGTTCTGTTTAGTAAATAAAATGTAGAAGTTGTGTAGACATTTTACCTTCAGTAGTGTGCATATCATTCATTGAGTAGATGCTTAAAAGGAAAACTCCAACCTGGGTTGATCTAAGTACAGTACAGTATTTCACAGCTGAGTTAGTTGTGAAAATCAAACCAAAAGCTTATGTATGGTGGTGGTATACCTGATTAGTGAATGATACTATTAAGCGTTTGGTATTGGTGTAACTGATTCTTTGGAATACTGTTAAATACTGCAGCTGCCCTCGTGAAAAGTTGTCATCATCTCCATAGTGACTGAAGAAAATGGTAAGGAGCAGACAATAGCAGGTGTGTGCATGCAAGTATAGATGGCCCACTATCTACCATGTAATAGTGTTTACTGAACACTAATTCTGTATGAAAAAATGACAGGATCAAGTCCTTTGGCCCCTAATTGTCCTAGATAAATAACTTGTCCCCTTCAGCTTGTCACAGGTAAACACCATGAACACCTCTGAGCCAATATTTACCAAGAATGTGTACAGGACTCTCATGGCCTCTGTGTTCCTTTCTCAGGCTAACAAAAGATTTTCAACCCTTACAAGACACTCTACACCTAAGTTATGCCGATGTCCAACCACGGGCAAGATCACCCAAAAAACACTCCTACAAATATTGACCTTCACCAGTTTAAACAATATTTACCTGAATTTGTACAGTGACTTTGTTCTATGGCCTATTAAAATTCACCTGGTTTCAATAACCCTAATCACTCATTACACATTACTTGTCAGACCACAGTTGTCTTTGCTTAGTAGCTGTGCTCCTACCAAGGGTTAAACCCTTGGCATCTGGATCAAACTACAATGTAGTATAGAGGTGACATGTTATAAACATGAATATAAAGATGAATAGAGCCACTAGCAAAGCTAATCATTTTCACAGCCAAACTTATGGAACCCTACATCAAATTAGAACACCATAATCAAAATTTTCAAAGAATGTGTTTGACTTAAGTGTAGTATCAGTTGTGTTGTATACCTATCCTCATAGTTCTGTAGTGTACTTGTCCCTAATGAGTTATGCTGTGTATCTACACCCACCGAGTTGTGCTGTGTACTTATGCACATTGAGTTGCATTGTGTACCTATCCCCATGGAGTTGTGCTTCGTGCCTACACTCCAATTGAGGTAAGCTATTAACCTTTCCCAATTGAGTTGTGCTGTGTATCTACACTCACTGAGTTGTCCTGTGTACATTGAGTTGCATTGTGTACCTATCCCTATGGAGTTGTGCTTCGTGCCTACACTCCAATTGAGTTAAGCTATTAACCTTTCCCAATTGAGTTGTGCTGTGAACTTGCACCACTGATTTATGCTGTGTTCCTCTACTCATTGAGTATATTGTTGCGTACCTATCTCCAAAGAATTGTGCTGTATATCCTAATGAAGTTGTGCTGTCCACCTATCCCAAATGTACTGTGGTGTGTAGTTATTTCATTAAATTATATTGTGACCCTACACTCATTGAATTGTGCCGTAAACCCTACACTCTTTGACTCGTGGAATTGCTGCTGTGTACCTACACTCAATGACTCATTGAATTGTGCTGTAAACCTTATACTCCTTAACTCATGGAGTTGCATATGTGAACCTAAACTCATTGACTCATGGAGTTGTTGCTGTGTACCTACACTCATGGAGCTGTGCTGTAAACCATGGAGGAGAGCTTTGTATCTGCATGTTTAAACTTGTACTGTGAACATGAACTTTTTAAGTTGTACAGTGTACATGAACATTTTGAGTTGTACTGTGTATGTGAACATTTTGAGTTGTACTTATATGTGAACTTTATGAACTGTACAGTGTATGTGAACATTTTGAGTTGTACAGTGTATGTGAACATTTTGAGCTGTACAGTGTACGTGAACATTTTGAGCTGTACTGTGTATCTACCCTCATTGAGTTCTGGTGCATGGCTCTCTGATACTCCTCATTCATGCGGCTGTATTTCTCCTCTGGGGTCAGTGGGTGGCTGTAGGGGTCAGTATCTGGGTCTGGGCTGTCGCATCCCTTGTGGTCCTTCTTGTTTAATGACTGGAACATAGAAGGTTTGCAATTTCTGTGAGTAAGCATCTAGTGACTATTACCATGGTCAATAATTCATCTACATGACTAACTTCCAACCTATCTTAATCACAGAAGAGTGACGTATCTTATTCTAATTGTATCTCAATCAAAACATATAGTGATTTATTACATGGCTGCCTTGTTATTCAGTGAAAATACCCATGTAATAATTTGGTGTATTACACATGTATAATATGGCTTATTGTGACATCACTTGAAGATAATCAATTGATGCCACACTTTTACAGATGTCATTGTGAAGTAACAATGGTGACCATAGATATAGTGCAGACAAGACTTCCATTTTGATGCAGAAATGTCCATTTTCTACTACATTTGCTTGTTAAATTGATCGTGTGTTAGAAAGGATCTTAAAACTGTTTGCATTTATATATGTGATTTATGAAAAGAGTCACAAATTTTCATTATAACATGCCAAGGGGTTGCTTGAATGGAAGATTCTTTAAACACATTTTCATAGATTCACATCTCAAACGGAAGTTCATGTGAAATCCTATATATGTATGATATATAGTTGTATCATCAAACATAGGTAGCACTCAATTATAGTCCTGCAGATACACTAATAGACCCTGAATTAAATTGTGTTGAGTAATGTTTTAATTTCATATTTACAATGCCATCTCCCACTTGATTATAAGGATAACATCCATTATGATAATGAATGACTTGATCAGCTATCTACTTTCTTGCATGGCAGCGTAGAAAATGTCTCTATAACTCACCGCAGTCATAACAAAATTCTGAGAATTTATAGACAGGTGTGACCTGGAGCTCTCCTCCCTCAAATATGACAAGGTGCTGTTCCGTTATCATTACTTAATCAGGACTAATTTTTCTCCATTTGTATTCACTAATTACTGTATAATTTGTCAGGTAAATATATCCATCACGATAACACACTTGCTAATGAGTAAACGGTGGCTTTCTAATTGTCACACGCAGTCTAGTGACTTATGAGTGTTGATCATATGCATATTAACACCATAAATTCCAGTTTTATATCTCCATATAATAAACAAACAAGATGTCTGTTATTCCTAGAATGACGGCTAATACGACACCTGCATACAAATGTGACTATCATATTTTATTACTTCATCGTCTACCTGTACCTTCAGGTTCATGATTTGAGTTTCGTTAAAGGCAGGTATCATATATCATACTGTGGTGCATTAAAGTTACCCACCACAACAGGTGTTATATCAGACATTCTAATGAACATGCCATTGTAACATGCATGTCAAAAAAATATTTGATATTAAGATCAGTTTCAGAAATGCGCAGATATTCTTGTCCAGTTTCAAAATTGCCAACAAATGGTGTATTTAACATTTAGTAGCAATTTTACATCTTTTCATGATAGAATGAATTCAGTGTAAAACAAGTCCTTGACATAGTATATCAATTTGTATTCCAAAGAATTAATGTAATTTTGTGGTAAATATCAGTCACTTCCTCAAAGTAAACTTATCCATTGAACATGACTGTGAAATGCAGTACTGAAACCCTAAAGATTGTTGTGGTTTACCACAGCATCTGAATGTCTGCTATCAATTTAAGACATCTCTCTATAATGTATCATTCTATTCTGAATACTCTTGAAAATTTACTGGTTTTAGACAGGAAACAAAATTACAAATTACAGGTGTGACAATTCTTGTGGACAAGTTCCATGAAATTGATAAATAGATTTCTGCCAAGGCTCACGAAACCATGCCTCATTTTAATCGTTAAGTCATTCTGAAACCAGTCAGGTGGAATCACCCAGCACCAAAGCTTGTGCAATAGTGAACCTAATGCAAAAATACATTAACGGGGAGACAGGTTCTGAGCGGCGATAGATCACGGCAGCACAGAGCATCAGCCACATAGTCGCCAGAGAATGCTCTGTCAAAGGTCACATTAATTAGCACCATCTATGTCCCCATCCAGGGGACATAACTCACATTGACAAGTCTTTAGCATTGGACTTCTGCGTGGCAATATGTTATCCGTCAGAATGCCTTCCTGGAGAGGGATAATTTCAGGACGGTGTGAAGATAATGTTTTTGTGAGTTAAAGCTACAAACTTAATTGCTGCGGTGATGAAGAAATTAAGTATTGTAATTTCTACCGGTGTTTCTGCCCAAGTACACACATCTACTTTTTAGTAAAAACAATGGGTACTGCATTAAGGCTAATGCAACAAATACACACATGGAAAAATTCAGGATATCTATCACTTGTAATTGAGCAGGCTTTTATCTACGAATTCTACATTTCCTAAACAACAAAAGGATTTTCGCATTTAGACTGTCCTAGCCACCCTGCCTGATTGGTTAGAAGTAATGTTTTACCACTCCAGAGAGGAGAAACTTTAGTGCTAGTAATTAACAAATATTGGCAAGATTGGTCTGGAGAGGGTCAGTATAATCATGGACTAGGACATAAGCCATCGGGTGTCCTTGGGGATAATTCCTAGGTTTTAAATCTAAGTAGCAAGTTTGGGATCTGAGTAATATTTGTTAGTTCTGTCAAGTCATGGTAATTTTTTAAAGGCTTTATTAACTCCACACTACTGCTGTAATACTTATCTTACAAAAACAGGTTTTTCAGTGATGCGATGAGAGTGACGATCATACAGTTGAAGACACAGACTGTCATGCTTATATAACATGACACCAAAGCGATATGTCTACATGTTTATTTATCAAAAGGATCAAAATCATAGAAGATGAAGGATTCTGTACCATTGTTTAATGTGAATGTGGGATAAATAGGGTTACTCCACAAGATATTGTCAAAAGGGCCTGGATGCATATATAATGATCTGTATACCATAAATATGTATCAGAATTAGAATGCTAAACCATCCAGAAGGGTATTTGTGTTTCCTTAAATAAAGCTATCTTTACAACACCTAATTTTTAGAACAAAAATCTTTGGGGCAGACCTTGGAAACTAAGCTCTGCAAACAAAACAAGAATGAAATAAAGAAAAAGGGCTTGTAAGTCTAAACTGATGACAACTGGTTGGAAAAGTATTAACTACAATTCATGTATTACAGCAAAGTTTAAAGTAAGTTGTATGAATAAAACATTGTCATAGTTGGACCTATGTATTATAAATCTGTGTCAAACCTAACATAAGTATACACTGAATCTAAAAAAAGGGTGCAGGTTCATGGTTGTCAACAATTTACTGATATTTTTATAAATGTAGAATCTCCACAAATATTATGTAATGTCTGCTAATTAATTGCATGTTAACTGTGAAAGTAGTGGCAATCAGCACCTCATTTAGGAGGCAGGCACACCTGCTTACTGTAGGTTCAGGTAAATCAACAAGACACATGACAGGTGTTAATGGGCAGGTACAAGGACTGATGGCTATTTGGCATGAAACTCCTACAAAACATGCAGGTAATGGTGCAGCAAAAACAAACACACACATGCACTAGATAGTCCACCTTCCACTAATGTTTGAGTCACAGGGAAGCTATTTTAGACATCCGAAACTCTTGGGTGTAAAAATAGATGTTGCTCAGAACTCTAGTGCCTGTTTTAGGTCTCGAGCTTGGCCTATCTTGGCAACTATCTCAGTATACCGGATCTGTCTGTAGCTGGTAACGCTGAGGTAAACTTATATATAGCTTCTCTTCCAAGCTATATTAAGATGCCAGTTATTTCTGTCGTCCCAGTTTCCAAATTTTCTTTATTGCATATTGAGTAAATCATTCTGTCATAATGGGTAGGATTGTATACAAACACTGGGCTACTTGTACCAGACTGCCTTGTCATATCATTACACCTCTGTTTTAACCAGGTGAGTTGAATACCTTGTGTAATGTTCCACTGGCATTTAACAAAAACATCACACAATACTCCCACAACTTATACAATGACTACATTATGGTTAATATAGAGTGTTTGAAATCAGCCAACACTGGTCCAAATAAATAACTCAATAAATATACAACATTTATCCAATTTACATTTCTGCTACCTTTATAATGTCCATGTCTGGAATACATTACAAAATGGCCAACATAAGACTACTTGTTCTTTGAAAACCATATTTCACAGAAGATAATTTTGTTTCAGGATATTGAATAAATCATTTGGAAGTAATTATATTTGTTGTGTATACAGTGCAGTAAATCTATCAGAAGAAGCTTAATGAGGACAGTTTGACAACATAAATTAAAAAAATTATCATATCCCACTCCTTTTAAAAACATCTTCCTGAATGGGGTTCCTGTCGATAACTTGCTAGCTCACAGGATCTAACCTTCCAAAAGCATTGTTAGTTTACTAATAAAAAGATATACACTGGATACTTAAATGACTGTATAGTAGTATAGATTTGGTGCTACCCTTCAACTATTCTATTCATAAAATAACTAATAAGATTCAAACCATGTTACCATTGCTTGTGACTTGAAATGTGGTATTTGTACAAGAGTTGCTCAAACATTGACAAAACCCTGTTTGAAGCCTAAATTACATTACTGGTTGCGACCTCATCGGTTGTGTTTGGATGGAGGCATGACTTTGGTACAGAAACAAGGTATACTGGCCACTCCAATTCAATATCAGTGCCACCTGACTCTGGTTGTATACAGCCCACTCCAGGTGAGGGAGGGTCCTGCAGAGAGTGTGTTCCCACCAGAGAGTGGAAGCCCTCTTCACCTGATAGTTAGTGAGTCATACATACACTTCTTCTACTGATGCTCTCAATACACTTTTTTCATATTTTTTTTTATCCAAATTGTTATGTGTTGAATGTTTGTGTTCACTATCACATATTTTATATCCCATCATTCTGACCTTCCATTAAAACATAATAAAGCAAACTTTTAAAATGATGTTTGATTTATTTTCTGTTATAAAGGTTTACAAAACCAAGTGTTGTCTGAACATTATCTGATCTGATCCCCTGTTCTAACACCTTTCATCATAAGAATGCAATGGATCTTTCATAATTAATTGGTTTTCATGCAGTCCTTAAATTCAGCAACTATACCTTTACTTTAATTCTGGTTAAGATTTTCGAAAGGTAGTGGTTTGATTATCAAGGCTAGAATGCATTGCCAGGCTTTGGAATTTTAAGGCAGACTTAAAATAAACATGTATGGCCATTATCTGGGAGCAATTACCAAAGTTCCTATAGTGTGAGAAAGGGTTGATGTTTAGAAGTACTATGGTACTGTAGTATTTCTGCAGTTGTTAGCTTGAGCTGGTTACTTTAAGAGTATTACGGTAGAATTACAGAAGAGACTGAATTACAATAATTCCATACATAGTTATTTATGCCTAGTAAACAACTAAGGTAGTTAGTAGTTAGTATTATGGTAGAACAATGATTTAGTGTACATTACAATAATTCTTAGACCAGACTGATGACTTTATATTCATTATAATAGTTCTGTATGATAGGTAACCTGACATGGTAAATGTTTAGGAGTATTACGGTAAGAGCAATCAGATGATTTTTGAGTAAATTATGGTAGTTCTATACAGCTGGTAGCCTTAGGTGGTTAGTTGGCAGCTCGCCTAGTTGACATGCCTTACTGATTTGTGTTGGATTTTGTTCCCCTGCCTATAAAACAACAAGATACCTTCTGTTTTCTATACCGAAGTAATCTGGTGCCTTCAATTAATTATACACACAAGATATCCACATTGACCAAGTTGACAATACTTTACATTTATACAATGTTTACATCCCACCACTACCACCACCTCCCCTAAATGCTAGACATCTCAACACTACAACCTAGAGATGCTGGCATTATCAATTATGTAATATCCAATAGACTATGTTTCATAAAACTCCAATGAAAATTGATGACTGTTCCTACAAGCTGTGTTGGAACCATGCATTTATTTCCATTTCTTGCTCCAATCAACTCCACACGATAACCATATAAATTAATTGACAACTTTAAAATGTAGAACATCACAAATTTCAGCTGACATTGTGGTTAGTTGTCTTCACACCTCTATAATTGTAAGTCTCTTTTCCAGTCTGCCCCTGACAGGTTGTCTCCTGACAGTGTTGCAGTGACTGGTTCCATTGGGATAATGGAGTCAGTATCTCCACAAGATACACCTCAACATGCATTTTCCGGTCATAATATTCCCTAGGCGATTACAGAGGAAGATATCGGCTTCAGACATCTCAAGTTTAACATTTTATGGTTGAACTGTTTGTCTCTCCAGAGTGAATTACCAGTTATCAGCTTATGTCAAAAATAACTGCTTAGAATAGTTAGGTGAAGACAGAATATTATCCATTGTCTTTTCATTATTATTGTCTCCAAGGCCAAGAAATTCTAAACACAAATGACCTTCATCATGTAAAAACCAACATCGAGATAAGGAAGAACAACTTTCATGCTACAACTATACAACAGACTGCAAGACAATGACCTTCACATTATAAAAACATTGACCTTCACCTTGTTAAAGCTAACATCAAACACTTGAACAGGACAATGACTTCAGTGTGTCAGTGTTTAAAAAACTAACAGCAAATAAGTGCCAATGACCATTATCTTCAAACAACCAGATACTCACAATGGAAATAAAATTCACATTTTTGACACTATAATTACATTAAAGAAATGGACAATGACCTTCACTTGATTACTATAGGACAATGACCTTGTTGAACGGGACACCAGAGGAAATGTTTTTATTCATCTTTACTTAAAATCAATAATTGTTGATTAACCTCAGGCTAAACGACTTTTAAATGAAGATCACTTTTAGGTTTAAACTCAACCTTGGTGATGACACGAAAGAAAAAGATATTAGCGATATCTAGGATATCTCCAGTTCCTTTCTATCCTTGCCTTCCTGTATGAAGTTCCTTTCCTCTTAATATTACTGATCCTGGTTAGATATGTAGGAATCTAAACATACCACAAACAGTGAAAAACTAGATTTGAATTGCCTAAATGAGTTTACTGGGCCAGAAGATAAGCCCTGATAGGAGCTTGAGGTCAGAAGCAGGAGGATCAGCAGGCACCAAAGTGGAGAGGAGATAGGCAGAACATTGGATAATTACTGACTACATGTGTGCTTAAAATTACAGCCAGTTCTGTACCTTCCAAAATTGATTTGTCAGATAGCCCTTGTGTCAATTAGGACTCCTTAATGAGTATAGATGGCATTTCCGAACACATCATCTCATGGCTTTCAAATGCAATACGTTTTTTGCTTGAAACCATAGTCTGCCACTCCCAGATAATTCATCATCAACAGGCTGGCTTCTACTTGTACTTAGACATTTCTAAAATAACCTTGAAATGACAGCAAGATTTTCATATTTAGTTAATGGTTGATATTGTATGACTATTTTGACTTTTAACTTCCAAAGTACTACTAAGTTTGTATAATTCCTTCACATGGACCATCCCATCGCCTCCCTACCTCTTAACACATGATTTTAGCAATAAGTTTATCGTATGACAAGCACTCATATACTTGATAATTACTCCAGGTTGTTAATTACATGTACACATATTTGACTTCAAAACACACCTGAACATAAAAAAAGTTACAATTAAGAATGGACAACGAAATTACCAAAGTGAAATTCAATAGCTAACTGCAACCTTTATTGTGGTTTTTCTTACAGTAACAATTACAGCAATATTCCCTGATCAGTACACAGAAATTACAGCAAAAAGTTATGACCATTCCCAATATTACAGCAATAAGCCCTCATTAGAATCAGAATTAGAGCATGAAGACATTACTATACTCAATATTACAGCCATAAGCTCTCATTAGGATCAAAATTACAGCAAAAAGTTATGACCATTCCCAATATTACAGCAATAAGCCCTCATTTGGATCAAAATTACATCAAGAAGACATTACTATACTCAATATTACAGCCATAAGCTCTCATTAGGATCAAAATTACAGCAAAAAGTTATGACCATTCCCAATATTACAGCAATAAGCCCTCATTAGGATCAAAATTATAGCAAAAAGACATTACTATACTCAATATTACAGCAATAAGCCCTCATTTGGATCAAAATTACATCAAGAAGACATTACTATACTCAATATTACAGCAATAAGCCCTCATTAGGATCAAAATTACAGCAAGAAGACATTACCATAACCAATATTACAGCAAGTAATGACTGTAATATCAGAACAATAATTAAGCCCTGATCATGAATACATCAATATAACAAAAACACCAGATCAATGCTAGCAAAAATCTCCAATATTTTTTCTTCACTGGCAGCCAAGATTACCACATCATTGATACATGTATATAAAAATATTTTTGTTTTCTAAATATAATGTGTAAGTGCAGGAAATCACTACCCACAATTCCTCTACCACGTTTCCAGTAGGAACACTAACATAAATATATGACTATCGTTGTTTTTTCAATTAAAGTAACACCGATTTTATGAGGATGTTTTACAGCAAATATTAATGGGCAATATTTTTTTTCCCACTACTTGTTTTGAAATAAATGTCAACATCAAAGGTCTTTCAGACCATTTCAAAGTGAAAAAATAAAACATGATGACATTTATCATGCTGTAACATGAAATTTAGCATAAAGAAATATATTATATTTTGAAATAAAACCTGTATCATTCAAAGATACTAAATGGCTGGTTTCAGGGGGGAATAACCGAAATAATCGTTACGTGTTGTAAAAATTTTACTAGGAATATGGAAGTTTTGTACTTATTCCCTTTAAAACAAGGTTATTGTCAATGGTAAAAAAGCTCTCATTACATTGTTGATCATTAAAAACTTAAATTAGCATTATGCTGTGGTTTCAACTACTAAAATCTATATCCCAAATATACCAATAGATGAACAGGAAACGACATCTTTCAACACTGGCACCAGTTGGTTTGAAAAGATTAGACTTGACACAAAAAGTTGAAGTCCAAAAATTAAAAAAAAAAAATAAAAATAAAAAGGACTTGTTTCCAAAGAATTATTCTGACATAAGAAAGTAACAGATAACCCCCACAGTAACCCTCAAACCAAATATCAGTACCCTCCTACACTTATAAAGGAGTTTACTGATGCCTTTCAACACTTGCACAGAGACATTTCCATTTAGAAACTAACACTGATGTCAATGTTAGGTTGACAACATTAGCTCCCTGTCTCTTTGAGAGGCAAGCTAAAAGCGCTTATAAGCATCTGTTTGTAAATATTTTTTAGGCACTGTGGGTGCTAATCATAGTGAATACAGTAATAATTTTTACAATTGCAGCAAGCCCTGATCCTAGTTAAAATTACAGAAGTAAATGCCAAAAACACTGATCATTAACTAACATGTAAAAGTAAGCCCTAATCATGCTTTATAAAGAATGCCTAAATTTCACAGTCACATGTGTCTCCCCCTAATTAGCCTAATATGGTGCTTACAATCAGGAAGACATAGTGTAAGAAAACCCTCCCAACGGGCGACCCTTCCTCTGTACATGGAATATTAGACCTAGGGGGAGAGTCATACAAGTAGGTGACAGACAATCTATCAGATGGCACTTCATTTTCTACATCACAGACCTTGAAGCTTTCTTATTTGAGTGATTTATTTCATCTTCGAAAAAAACAGCAAATAGCAATGACATTACCTGTTTTATAAGTTTTTCTCTTGTTTGATTCAGGTACAGACCCCCCCCCCCCCCCCCCCCCCCCCCCCCCCCCCCCCCCCCCCCCCCCCCCCCCGAGTCAAATATAAACATATTAACTGGAAGTCTGGCAGCATATTGGATAAACAAACTCACCTTTCATCAAGAGAACTGGGGTTATATTCTACATGGAAAGGACTAGAAAGAAGACATGGGTAATGTTAAAAGTTTAAAAATGAAACACACTCAACCTTACCTCAATGATATCCTTGTTTGTGCGACTTTCGTGTGGTTCGTTGTACTCGGTGTACTTGAGGAGAACTTTGTCCATGTCAGTACTTGCATACTGAAACAACTTGTTGGCACTGTTGAATATGATGAGAGCAATTTCACAATCACACAACACACTCAACTCATAGGCTTTCTTCATCAGGCCAAACTTGCGCTTTGTAAATGTCACCTACAAAAAACAAAATTCAAAGCTGTTTACTAATTTTAATCTCAATTAAAAAACAAAACCTTAGTTAATATCATCTACTGCAACATTTTAAGTTAAAATTCAATTTTCTAAGTTTTGATGATTATTTTTTTCAACACTTAAACTAATTTCTTCATAACCAGAAAATATCTGTAAGATGTGAATACCCATGCTCCCATTCTCGTATTGTTATCATTGTATGGTGAGTTTGGGAAAGTTATCAGATGTGACCTGTGACCCTTTAGCCTTGGCTGATGACAACCTTAATGTGAAAAGGTGTAGAACACGATGTTATGATACTATGGTGATGACAACCTTAATGTGAAAAGGTGTAGAACACGATGTTATGATACTATGGGCGAAAGCATTGACTAGATCTGTTGAAACTGGTTTTTAAGACAAACAGATCAGAATGGGAGGCAAGGAACTGATCTGAAGGTAACACAATATGCATATGTCCAAACCCCCATGAACATAAAGGGGACATAATAACCCAATTGGATACTGCTTATTAACAATTCATGCCATAGTTTAAAGAAAAATAATTGATTCCTTCACATTTAAATGAAATAACAAGGGGAGTCACAAACTGTCTGGCTAGACAATTTAGTCATGATGGTTACAAATCTAAATTATCAAAGAGGGCAAACAAACTTAGTAGTATTTTGGCAGTCCCTTTAACTTCAACTGTGTAGTTTTCTTTTTGTTACTTTCAATATTCACAAAATGTAAAATTGTACATGATTTGATTTAGAAGTATATAATGGAACCTCGTCTTAGTTAAGTCAGAAATTTATGAAACTTGAACCTCGTCTTAGTTAAGTCAGAAATTTATGAAACTTGAACCTCGTCTTAGTTAAGTCAGAAATTTATGAAACTCGAACCTCGTCTTAGTTAAGTCAGAAATTTATGAAACTCGAACCTCGTCTTAGTTAAGTCAGAAATTTATGAAACTTGAACCTCGTCTTAGTTAAGTCAGAAATTTATGAAACTTGAACCTCGTCTTAGTTAAGTCAGAAATTTATGAAACTCGAACCTCGTCTTAGTTAAGTCAGAAATTTATGAAACTTGAACCTCGTCTTAGTTAAGTCAGAAATTTATGAAACTTGAACCTCGTCTTAGTTAAGTCAGAAATTTATGAAACTCGAACCTCGTCTTAGTTAAGTCAGAAATTTATGAAACTTGAACCTCGTCTTAGTTAAGTCAGAAATTTATGAAACTTGAACCTCGTCTTAGTTAAGTCAGAAATTTATGAAACTCGAACCTCGTCTTAGTTAAGTCAGAAATTTATGAAACTTGAACCTCGTCTTAGTTAAGTCAGAAATTTATGAAACTTGAACCTCGTCTTAGTTAAGTCAGAAATTTATGAAACTCGAACCTCGTCTTAGTTAAGTCAGAAATTTATGAAACTTGAACCTCGTCTTAGTTAAGTCAGAAATTTATGAAACTTGAACCTCGTCTTAGTTAAGTCAGAAATTTATGAAACTCGAACCTCGTCTTAGTTAAGTCAGAAATTTATGAAACTTGAACCTCGTCTTAGTTAAGTCAGAAATTTATGAAACTTGAACCTCGTCTTAGTTAAGTCAGAAATTTATGAAACTCGAACCTCGTCTTAGTTAAGTCAGAAATTTATGAAACTTGAACCTCGTCTTAGTTAAGTCAGAAATTTATGAAACTCGAACCTCGTCTTAGTTAAGTCAGAAATTTATGAAACTCGAACCTCGTCTTAGTTAAGTCAGAAATTTATGAAGTCAGAAATTTATGAAACTTGAACCTCGTCTTAGTTAAGTCAGAAATTTATGAAACTTGAACCTCGTCTTAGTTAAGTCAGAAATTTATGAAACTTGAACCTCGTCTTAGTTAAGTCAGAAATTTATGAAACTTGAACCTCGTCTTAGTTAAGTCAGAAATTTATGAAACTTGTTGAAGGCTGATCCCTAAAACTTTGATGCTCCATAGCTTATAATTTGAGATCTTCAGCCTTACAATCCAATTTAGTGGTCTCTTGCTTCCTAAAACTCTGATGATATCCAACTATTTCAGATCTTCTGCCTTACAGCACCTTTCAACTCTTTCCTGATTAATAAAACTGATCCTAACTAATTATTTGAGATCTTCTGCATTACAATGCCATTCAACTATCAATACAAGCACCTTTTGCCTCTGTAAAACTGGCTGTAGTTCTACCTTTACCGGCTACCAAGTGAAATAGTTACACCAAACCTCTACTTACTATTTTTTTACCTTTAAGCATTAGCTGTCAAAACAGAGAGACAAAAGACTTCAAGGATGGTTGCTATGGAAATGATTAGTTTGAAGAATGATTTCTTGTGAAACAAATTTCCATAGAAATATACATAAAAATATGAAGCCCACACTTATCAATATTTCATGATGTATTTTGTGGGTGACATGTGCATTTGTAAGAATAATATCTCTACAATATGGTACTGTAATCAGTTTGAAGGTCGGTTACCATGGAAATTCATAATATTCAATAATGATCTCTTTCAGTAAGACGTAGTCAATTTTTCATAAATTTTTTTATCACAAGCACTCAAATCTATTGTTTATCATTTCTTTTATTACATCTAAATCTATATTAGAATAACAAGTCTCAGTTATCCTTGCCATTCATCCTATGATTGTCAACAACAGGACACAGACAAGTCTGGCCATTAGTCCTATGATTGTCAACAACAGGACACAGACAAGTCTGGCCATTAGTCCTACTACCATAACATATGATTGTCAACAACAGGCCTCAGACAAGTCTGGTCATTAGTCGTACTACCATAACATATGATTGTCAACAACAGGCCTCAGACAAGTCTGGCCATTAGTCCTATGATTGTCAACAACAGGCCTCAGACAAGTCTGGCCATTAGTCCTATGATTGTCAACAACAGGCCTCAGACAAGTCTGGCCATTAGTCCTATGATTGTCAACAACAGGCCTCAGACAAGTCTGGTCATTAGTCGTACTACCATAACATATGATTGTCAACAACAGGACACAGACAAGTCTGGCCATTAGTTTTACAACCCGAACATATGATTGTCAACAACAGGACACAGACAAGTCTGGCCATTAGTCCTATGATTGTCAACAACAGGACACAGACAAGTCTGGTCATTAATCCTATGATTGTCAACAACAGGCCTCAGACAAGTCTGGTCATTAGTCGTACTACCATAACATATGATTGTCAACAACAGGACACAGACAAGTCTGGTCATTAATCCTATGATTGTCAACAACAGGCCTCAGACAAGTCTGGCCATTAGTCCTATGATTGTCAACAACAGGCCTCAGACAAGTCTGGTCATTAATCCTACTACCAAAACATATGATTGTCAACAACAGGCCTCAGACAAGTCTGGCCATTAGACGTACTGCCATAACATATGATTGTCAACAACAGGCCTCAGACATGTCTGGCCATTAGTCCTATGATTGTCAACAGGCCTCAGACATGTCTGGCCATTAGTCTAACCACCCAAACATAATAACTGTCAACAATTGGTCGCAGATGAGTCTGACCATTAGTCCTACAACCCAAACATAAGGTTGTCAACAACAGGCCTAAAAAAAACATGGCCATTAGCCCTACTTATGTCTCTGATCAGACGGCAGGCTTGGCCATTAGCCCTACTAAAGTCTCAGATCAGACACATACATTTATTGTTGTGTACAATCAAGGAATATAATAACGAAAGCCTCATTATGAGATTATAATGTTAAGACTTAAATATTTTTCATTTTCAATTTGAATCAATTTAATATGTGCAATCTTCATGCTTAATCAAGTAGAAATAAGTTCAGCTTTCAAACAAATTTAATTTCACACAAATATGTTAACAAGGCTGTCGATTATTCCTCTATTGATGTAGGGCTGTTACTCAGGTGTCATGACTCCAGATTGCATGCTGTCGTAAATAAACCAGAACAGCTAACACATTTATACACAACTAACTGCCCAGTCAACCAGTCACCATGTTATCTTATGTAATGAGATTTTCTCTAACAGGTATATGTATGTTTGTATTACTTTTCTTGTACAGGTATTCTGTGTGAAATGAGAAGGCAGGATTCCTAACAATATAACACCCAATGCAGTGCTACAGATGACGCGTGTTCGACCTTGGCCGACATTATTCATCATCAGTTCCGTATCAAGGTTAATCAATATTTTTCAATAAATCAACATGTATCTAATCTTTCTCCTTTTTTTGTGAAATAGCTAAGGATTAAGTTTAAAGTAATCAGCAAATGAATTTCTTCTTAAAGGATAACAGAAACTTAAAGAATAGGTTCTTCTGAAAACCTAGTTTTACATCTGAAAATATTTAATGGCATTTACTGTGATTTCTCCTTTTCACATATCTGTTTGGATTGCCAGCTTAGCTATTGAATGTGTTAAAAGGAATGACATGTATCCGGATACAATTACAGTTTTTGAGTAGGTTTTAAGATTTCTATCGATATGACTGTGCATATCCAGCTCTTTCTGAACAGTGAGCTCAGAGCATTTTCTACAATATGTACAGGATCCCAGATATAAGGAAGCAATCTCTGCCAAAGTTCGCAGACAAAAAAAAAAAAAAACATCAAACACCTCCTTAAACTCACAAACAAGGAGTTGCCCATCTCATAGTTCCCAAGGCCGTGTAGAAATTTAAGAAGTAATGTGTAAAACCTTTAAAGAAAGTCATATATGTATTGGAAGATATTCATTTCACAAAGGATAGTGTGTTTTCCTTGTCTCTTAAATCTGAACATCGCAAAACCTTCCCACCCTACCTAAAGCTTGTGTCTCCTTCCCACCCAACCTATGGTTGGAGTCTCTTCCACCACTCCACCAACAGCGAGTGGCTCTTCTCCATGCCACCTACATCTGTGTAATCTATCATCCCACCTACAGCTTGTGTCTCCTTCCTAATCCATCCACAGCTGGTGTCTCCTTCCCATCACACCTACAA